AAGATACGTGTTAGAAAAGTTCGTATTTTTCTGTGACAAAATTTCTATGATATTTATAGACTTAATCATTGTTTAACATACATAAACCTCTGCTGTCATCTGAAAATAAATTCACCAATATTTTTTTTCCAGATTACAATATGATGATCATTAATCCATGCAATATAGTGCAACAATCCACATTGGACGTTAAAGCTAATCACATTCTTTTCCTTTATCTTTTTCAAAGGTTCAAATTTCCAGTACATGATAATATATTTTCCAAATTTTGAATGAAAAGATTGAAAACAAACTTTGATCTTGTCAAACAAAGTCAAAAACTATCTTGAACATATTAAATTTTATCTTTTTGCATGTAATACATTTATATGTCCTAAGTTTGAAACAAATTCTTTTGATTGTTAAATGTTGTCTTTGTCAAATTTTTAGATTCAGTAAATTTCTAATAGGTTAATTTAGTTTTTATTTTTATTTTTTATTAATCACAGCGAGTTATTAGTTTATTATTATTAGTATCAAAAATTTTAAAAAAATTTAATTTTAAATTTAAATTTAAGAAAAAATTCAATTCATTAACCATCTTTCATCAGCTTAAACTAAAAAAATAATTTTCAAATAAAATAAATACGCTGTAATTGAAAAATATTGAGATGTGCATAAAAATCATATGAGGATTTTATTAATTAGATGAAAATTTGAATATATTAGTTGAAAATGATATGTAATTGATCCATGTGGATATAGTGATATTTTTAAGTCATTGATATATGAATTACATTTTCCTATGATGTTCTTAACATTTTATCTTTTTGAAACAATTCTAAAATTTTACTTATTTCTTTTTTTTCAAACTCTGTGTATCAGTATTGAATAATGCTTTTCCTTATGATCCATTTTCAAATACATGACATGTTGATCTACTCAACTACTGTTTTTATTTTTATTTAAAGAAAAAGTTACTTGATAAGATTCCAGCAAAACGCACAAGTCTTGCTGGGATCCAAAATGTTTCATCTTACTCAACTTAGACACCATCTTTCCAGTTCACCCACCGTCGTCCATGTTCCCATACAAGTTCATGTAATTGCTTGGTTTGTGTGTTAGAAAAACCATTGCATCTCTTTGTTGAAGAAAAGAGACTTCCTCCAAAATTCAGTTAGTCCTTGATGACAACTAGGAACAACCAACGAGTCACATTGAGGTACTCAAAGCAATACTTTAACTTATCAAAATATGCAGCGAACGTGACTTCGGCCAAGAGTTTTAGTAGAAAATGGAGAGAAATGTAAGTAAATAAGGCCCATATTTTATAACTATAAAGCCATTCTTGGCCGTGAGAAATTGAGCTCTTGCATGATGTAGATTGACATTCAGGAAAATTTAGCCAATATACAGATTTCCAATTTCTCTCACCAACATCAAAAGCTGTTATTTAGTTGCGTATTCATGATAAATCTCAAACACTTATCTCATCTGACTTTCCGCCAAGGTGTGCAACTATTACAACAAAGATCACACACACTTTACAAGAACTTATATGACAACATGGGTGACAGTGGGATGAAGTGCCGTTGGAGGGTTCTCATCGGATAAAATGAAACGTTTTGGTTCACAGCAAGACTTGTGCAGTTGGAATCTCATCAAGTAATTTTTTTAAAAATTTAAAGCAATGTTGTTTGATGTTGTAAATTTAAATTTAGTCATGATAGATTCATAATGTTCAAAAGATCATAATGAGGTTTTTTGAAAAATGGCTCAACAATTTATGTTAGATAATAGATCAACCAAGTTAAAGGTAAAATTAAGAAGATAAATTTTATATATCAAGGTAATAGTTTTCCAGAAGAACATATGTGTTATTTAAAGATAGTCAAATGCAAATCTAATTAGCAATAATCTGTTGTGTAATATGCAAAGTTATATTCTTATGCATGATTCTTGAAGCACAAAGTTTTTTCATTACACTTAAACAAGACACAATCAATGTTAATTTAAATTTAACTCTTGTGTAGCTAGAGATGTCATAGTCATACAGATTGAAGATCATAATAACAAAAATAACTTGTTTTGCTAATTTGACATAGAAATCAACTAATCATTACTATGAATGAAAAATTATTCAAATCAAGATAATTTATAAACTTGAAAAAAGTTAATGAAACTTCTTGGGGATTTTTTTCTGAAAAGAGTAAATAATCTAGATATATTTTTGTTAAATAATCAATTTTTTCTCATTTATTTATAAAATAATATGAGTTACATATTTCAACTCTTTGTATGTTTTGATGCTCAAAAAGTGTGGTCTTTATATAATCATAGGTGATCTACATGCTACATTTTTGTCTTTTCAACCTTTTGATGCATATAATGCTACTAATTGTATATATGCACATCAATATATTATATTAGTTAATTATTTCACTATTTGTAAAATGATGGCAAAAAATTCATGCAATTGGTTTTAGATTTACGTATGATCTAACAATACAAGAAAGTTAGAAAAGCTCTTATTTTTTAATTCTTAGAAAAAAAAATATGACATACATACGGATTCAAGTTTACGTTTTTGGAGTCTATATAATCAACAAGCCTTTGAATATGAAGTAGAGTTTTAAACAAACATTATTTTATAGCCTCAAACTAAGATAACAACCAGTTTAGGAAAAATTTCTACATTTCTTGCTATAATTACTTATGTAACACAATTTTGAATATTAAAAGCTATTCAAATATTCATGCATGCATTTCAGCATAACATAATTTGTGTTTATAAATTTTGAAATTCACAATGTTTTATAAAATTATTTAAATCAGAAAAAATGACATTTTAATGATAGATTATAGTATATCAAAAAAATTCAAATATAATTGCAGATAATTTAGCCAAAATAATACAATTAGTCAAATTCTTTAAAATAAATATTATAGAAGATACATAATTAAATAAAATATCAAATACAATGTTTAGAAAAAGTTTGATAATTCTTATTGTATAATTAAAATTGCTATCAAGATTAATATTGATAAATTTTATAAAGTTCTTTAAGAATATATACTTAATATATTCATATTTAAATTTTATATTCAAGATTAAATGATTTTAATTAGCGTTGATACTTGGTATTTTTGCATCATGAAATAATTTGATTTCACTGTAATGTGATCTTTTATATTATTATAATGAACTTTGTATCTAATATAGAATTTCAGAATAAAAAATTAATTATTTATATTAAAAAGTACAAGAGCAATATTATTGGATTGATTTCCACGTGACAATTTTTTTGTTATGATAAATTTGTAAATGTTCAATAATTATCATCACAATATCAAAAAAAAATTTATTCAAAAAAATCATATGAATCATTAGCATATATTTAATCATATGATTGATTTACAGTATATATCATTCATTGATAATATTATCTCAAATATTGAATATATCATCTATAAATATATTATAAACAAAATATATTAGATTAATATGTTATGCAATGCCATTGCGGATGTCTATGAAAATAGAGCAATTTGTAATCATTTTTTGTTAGTTAAAATTATAATAGATATTACTTAAATTGAAAATAAACTTGATTTATAGTAAAATTTTTAAATTTATCATCACACAAATTTAAGTGCTTTATAAATAAAGGGTAATTGTGCTAGTTAATACACTTACCCTTTATTTAAGTGCACGTAAGTTAACAATGACACTTAAAAAATTCATGTGTTATATATGATTGTTATGCTAATTGACAATAACATGTAAATTGTTTGTTTGTTTGTTACATCATGTCATCAATATATTAAAGGTTAAATGAATGAAAAATAAAAAATTTTATTTCATCTTATATATAAATATCTACATAAGAAAAAGTAGAATATTTTATTTCTCTTTTATCATCAAAAATTGTGTTTTATCTTTGAATGAGATTTCTTCTTTTATTCTTTAGTGTTACAATTGGGTTATACATTCATTGATATGTTGCAAAATGTAAAAATGTTTTTTACACACAGTTAAAAACTAGTAATAATTTTGAATAGCAACAACAATGGTTGATTCAATATGTTAATATAAAAAAATCTTTGTAAATTCTTTATAAATATTATATCTATTAATATGTTTAAAGTTATGCTTAGATCTACGTGTAATGAAGAAATGATATGCAATAAATTATTTCTAAACTAGTATATAGGAAGATTGGTTTACATTTCAAGATATTTACAATTTTTCAGGCAGTAAATAACAATTGAGAAAATTTCCAATTGAAATATTTATTGTAAAGAATTTATTAAAATATACATGATAATATGAATTTCTCTGTTTTTATATATATATATATATATATATGAAATATGATAGGATGTGGAGTTTAAATTGAATGAATATGGCGAAAATTTTGTTTCAAATAACAACCATGTTTTGAAATAAGATATATAAGTTACAATATTCAACTTCAGAAATTTTTTCTGTACATTAGTAATAGCTCGCGCTCATGTTTGTCGTGCTTTCCGGTAAAGCTCAAATAGCTGAAAGGATGTAGATGGTGATATTCCCATCGGTCGAGTTAGTTGAAAAGCCAAACATTGCAGCTCTTACACCTCGTAACATTTTGCAAGTGCTTGTTCAGACAGTCCCACATTTGGAGCATGCGGATGCGGCTGAAAGTGATCGATTCATGGATTTTGAAGTCCATGAATCGATCAGCCTTCGGATGACGAAGGCCTTTTCTTCGCCAGGGGCAGAACCGGAGGGAGCGAAAAGAGTCGTCTTCGGTGACGAGAGGAGCGAGGGGGAGTCCGAGCAGTTAGAGGTGCGCATGAAAGAGCATAATCGCGGGCGGCCCAGCCGTTCAGATGCGGAATCTAACGGACGCTGGGGGAGACGGAGGATGGGGGTACGGATGGTGAGTAACTGCCTTTGGGTGCGAAGCCTGGCGAGGGAGCAGGAGGGGACGAGGGAAGGGGGAAGAGGGGAACGGAGCGAAGCCGAAGGAGCGAGAGCGCGAGAGATGAGAAGGGGAGCGAAGCCGAGAGACAGGATTTGCGTTTTGGAATCTGCTGCTTCATTCGGTTCAGACAAGGAGGGCCGTACTTTTTAATGGGGAAGCGACAGGAGCCACAGACGGAAGCCGAAGCGTGCAGGGTTTGGAGGTTGGAGCTCGCTGCTGCTGCTGCTGCACTTCTGTTGGATTGGATCGGGTCGGATCGGATGGAAGGTGAGTTGCGCGCTTGAGGCTCGAGCACGTCGGTGCCGTCGAACGGCGGACGGAACGGAACGAGGCCTTGATTGGTATCCACCGCCTCATCCCCTGCGGCTTGCGGCCCGAATTCGCGAGGCTCGCCGTAGCGCCCGAGTTCGCGCCATGGGCAACGTGTGTTTCTGCGCCTCCAAGGTCAGCATTTGTTCCTCTGTAGGATTAGCTATGGCGTCGAATCTCAGAATCTTGACCCATAAAAATCCTAGCACTTGTCAATTCGCGTGGTCGTCGTCCCCGTGGCAAAGAAAGTTGTACAACACCTGTTCTAGTTTTAGCGAGAGAAATTCGTCGGTGTGCACAATGCGTAGCTTAGCCTGGGCCGCTTCTCCTGCACCAGCAGCTGTCGGGGCGAAGCCCTTGGGAAGTTGTAACAGAAAACATGTAATAAAGAAGCAGTGGAGCAGGGATGGGCTTGAATTCTGTCGCGTCGCGGGATTGAGGCACGGAGTGGTAAAGGTCAGAGGGAGTTGCACGTATAGACCGAATGTCGTTGTCACCACCGAAGGTCCCGCGGATCTTTCATTTGAATCGAGTTCTGGCCAGGTAAATGGGGATGCGGAAAATGACGATGGTTCGGACGGGACTCAATTCCCTCGCGGAGGGAACATTGCATCTCCCACGCGCATAGTGAACGTAAAAGGTGAGAATGCCGTGAGCAGCGCATCGCAAATAGCCATGATGGCCGAACTGGAGGATGCCCTCGGGTTCCCGCTCGGTCAAGGTCCACAATCGCCCAGCCCCAAACCTCTGGTAATTGTCATAAGCGGCCCGAGTGGCGTGGGAAAAGACGCCGTGATCAAGCAATTGCAGCATGTGCGCGGGGACATCCACTTCGTCGTGACCGCTACGACGAGACCAATGAGGCCCGGCGAAGTGGATGGTGTGGATTATTTTTTTATGAGCCGGACGGAATTCCAGGAAATGATTGAGAACCATGAGCTTCTAGAACACGCAATTGTGTACGGAGATTATAAGGGAATTCCGAAGCAGCAGGTGCGAGAGTGTATGAACATGGGTATGGACGTCGTCTTGAGGGTGGATGTCCAAGGAGCAGCCACCGTACGCGCAATTCTGGGCTCAGAAGCAGTGTTTATTTTCCTAGTAGCTGAGAGCGAAGTGGCATTAGTAAGGAGACTTATTGAGCGGAAGACTGAAACTATGGACAAGATGCTCGTGAGAGTAGCCACGGCCAGAGAGGAGTTAACACGAATGGAAGAATTCGATTACGTGGTAGTCAATGCGGAAGGCATGCTCGACAATACGGTTGGGTTAATATGCTCGATTATTGATGCAGAGAAGGCGAGGGTGAAGCCCAAGGCCGCAGAGCTCTAGTATCTTATCTCAGGTACTAAATCAAAACCGTAAGAAGGCCATTCGAAGATGGCACATGCTTTGGTAACTAGCCAATGTCAGACAACATGAATTGTTTGCTCGAATTGCGTGAGAACAAGAGTTTGTGGACAAAATTTGACTGGAGGAGAAACCGGGCGCTGGACCCAGCTTTCGTTCCAGGAGTGTCACCGTCGATGCTTTGTTTTTTACGGAGATTAAGAACTGCAGATGCTCGAAATTCTGCCACCTCTTTAAAGATAATTCAATTTAGTTCAGAGAAATGAAGTTTTAGAAAGGAGATTAAAGATTTAATTCTTGTGTGAATCTCATATGTAACAAAAAAATTCACAAAACTTTGGATTCTAGCTAGGGTTTTGTATGGAGGATGGAACAGTGACATTGCGTGAAAGTGGTAATGTTAGCGCTCACACTCGTTTGATCCGGTGTTGCGCAGCTGTTATGATCACAGGTGAACCCATATGCGCCTGTGAGCTATTTGCTTCATGTTTCCAATGAAGCTTTTTTCACGCCCATATTTGAGTTGCAATTGCAACATGTAGAAAGTATAGGATGCAGCAGCTATACGGGAGGATGTTCATTCACCTGGTTAGTTTCTGAACGCCCGGATTTAAAATTTGGATGAGGAAATTTGTGTCGGACTCTGCCAAGAGTTATGGAACCCATTATCGCATCTTCGTCTCTCGTAGTTGATGATGATGATGATGATCCCGGTTCTGAATTTCCTCAGTGCACCTCTTTCGGGCGCTGCATCCTGATTTTACACGCTTTGCCTTGCTGGTCGCAGAAACAATGAGTGCTGAACTGTCGTTACATCTGGTTCCGTTTTACTGATTTCCATGTGTTTTCAGATGTCACCGGTCAGGATTTCGTCAATTGTATTTCAGGCTCTGTCAGTGACTAGGTCTCCCGAGCGGGTTGATCACAAAAGTTGGATTCTGTCTAACACCTTCTTAGTGTTGCAGGGCAAATGTCCGAGGAGACCTCTTGGAGGATCGAGAACACCTTCAAGCTGCCTGATGAACCTTTGTGGACCTATATTAGAAACCTGTCTCCCGTCTCATGATCTCATGGCTTTGTTCACTGCTAGAAGATGAGATTTCTGAGAAGCGATCATCGGCATTTGCAACCATCCAGGATTGTGTTTTAGATTCGTGGTAAAACAATCCTTATATGTAGGTCTAGGGATTTCCTTAGAAAGTGAAGGGTGGGAACTCCAAAACTTTTTGTGGAAAAGTAAACAAGGAGGATAGTCGTGCGAATAGGAATGCACATATGTGCTTTGTAACATAGTACTGCCAATCGGTAAGAATTTTGAAACTAAGATGGAATCTTTCAAGGAGAGTTAGTATGTGGATGACAAGTCCGTCTCATGTGGCTCAGTTATGAGCATGTCACATGGTCTTTGAAATCTTCGTAGGCTCTCTGCGGATGAAGCCTGGAAGGATATAACAATCGTCCACAAGAGTTATCGGACGATCTCGACGTGAAAGATTCCTCATAGTTCTTCAGACCTACTCTTAAGTATCCTTTTCATGCCGAAGTTGATTGGTCCACATTTTTGCTTCCAGCCTCTTGTTACTTGAGAAAATGTGGTTTTAGTTCGTTGTCGGAGTCAAACGTTATACAAATTAAATTAATAACCTGAGATAATTATACAAATTAAATTAATAACCTGAGATAATTAACATGTGAGGTCGAGTCCCAATGTATGGGGCCATACATTTAATTAGAAATCTCCAAAACTTAATAATTGATATTCCACATACATAGAATTAATAATCTCCAAAACTCAATAATTGATACTCCAGGCCCGAATTTTTTTTATATTGATAATCATTGTAGCATAAATAGATTTGGCTCAAAGATTTTTACATTTGAGTGGCTAAACCTTAGAAAAATATTCCAAGATTGGCTTTTGAACCAGGTTACTACGCTTCATAATGCTAGTATAAATAGATTTGTTACAAAGCTTTCTACATTTGGGTAGCTAAACCTTGGAAAAATACTCCAAGATTGGTTTCTCAAGGAGCTTACTACACTTCATAATGCTGGTCTTGTACTTGATGTTGGATGATTGTCTGGATGGTAACAATCATCTCATGATTAACGATGTCTAGTTGCATCCAGAACCGTTGCAACAGACTTGCACATGGTAGTGCTTCAGTTGTTTTCACAAGAAATTATTTTTTATTCTTGTTGATCTACATCTCATCTTTTGGCATTAGTAGAGAGGTATTGTTTCCGCTACCAAAGTTCTTGCACAATTTACTCCTAAGTCGAAACGTAAGCAACTTCGCGCTCAGTAGAGTAGTCGATGAGATTGCAAAAATCCATTGGGTTTCGCTACCAAAGTTCTTATACCTACTCTTCGAGGTCCTTGACACTTTAGGATCAATAAGCGGATGTTACGGGACCGGTGTCACATCAGCATCAGTGGTGCAAATTCAGCAATGGCTAAAGCGGTTGCAGATTGTTTCTAGCGTCACATCCATGCTCTAGGTTGCAAAAGCAATGCGCATAGCCTCCAAGACGTCAATCTTCTTAGAATCTGCTACCTTGTCATGAAAACGTTGAATGAGGAGACAATTGAAACGGCGCTGATATTAAGCCTTGAGGCTTCTAATAATTCATGCGTCGCAAGGCTGAATCTTCGAGCTCATGTTTGATGGCAAATAGAATTCGTTTATGTTGTGGAGCGTAACAATATATGCAAGTTGCATTAACTGTATATGTGCGATGCAGTTGTCCATAATCAAAAGAACATAATGCCCTACCATACGTGCATCAAACTCTTTCAGACCCTCGAGAAAGATGATTTGTATCATCCAGGCCTTTGAATTGCTTCGATACTTGCATCCAAATCTGTTTCGGTTGATGATTTTGAAATAGCGAGGGTTTTGTATTTGCCAATGACAAGAAGTGGAAGCTTGTCCGAGCCATCAGCATTGCATCACACAGCGAGCGTGAGACGCTCCTTATTTTGTTTGCGTCCCTCAAGCTGTTTTGTGGTCAAAGAATTATCTGCATGTTGGGATGTCATATGTTAGTGAAAGTAAGTCCATGGTATGACAGTGAGCATACAATGTCATGCTGCTTTTACCTGCATTTTGTAAAACAATCAAGTTTCATCCATGTTGTAGATGTCACGTCGCTCATATTGATCCAAAGTTAAACGAATATGTGGCAAGCTTTTTTCAATCAGAGCCATGTTGACGGATTCAGACTCCCCAAAGCGACGATAGTACTTGATGGCGGGACGATTCTTGAATGCCTCTAGCCACCCATTTGAGAATCCAAAGGCTCCGTAAGCAGGGTAGAGCTCGGGAAGGAAGTACGCAACCTTCTCTTTGATGAGATCACCTGACATATTGACTTAGTTCTGGTATGTGAGGAACCACAGGTACAGAGCTGTCTCCATCAATGGATATTTCACAGTCCGTTGTCGCTTTGCTGCACGATTCACATCCTTCTTCTTGGCAAGGATTCCAGTTGAACGTTTTAGCATCAGAGAAATCGTTCCCTGATTGACAAAAATTTTATGCGTTTCATGAAGCCACTTGATCAGGTCTACTTGCATCATCGATTGATGCTTTTGCTTGTGCTCACAAAGAGCTATCCGAACCTTATTAATCATATTGATGGATCTTTTTGAAGCCATTGTGTTGTTCACCTGATTGTGGTTGCTATTTAGGGTGAACGCCACGGCTCGCAACTGATACAAATGACGCAACTCTTAAGCATAAGTGACGGCCGTCTTGATTTTTTTTCCTCTGGAGTGCAACTTATGGGTTTGATGAGAGGGCTATGACACTACTGAGCTCGATACAATTTAATCTCCAAACATGTATCGTTGTTATATCGGAAAATTAGCTTTCCATACAAGTTCAGTGACCCTTGTAAGTGTGCAAATAACTGTCCCACCACAAATGACGCAAACGGAGAACCTCTCTTTATTACTATCCAGTTTAAATTAATACAGAACCTCTAGCACCGGGAGTAGTAACTTCGACAAGTTTCACTGTATAACGTTTTGTTTCTAGCACACTTGATTCCAGCAACCGTCTAAAGTAACATCTCTGCACATAATGGTACTATATTATATGCAGAGCTCCGTTGAATAGTGTTCCATTCATAGATAAACTTATAGATATGGCGTGATCTCTTGGATGAGATATGTATTTACCATATGGAATGAAAGTTAGTAGGCCTTGCAATTAACTATCGTTAGTGCATACATGATGTGGGAAGAGTAAGTTGAAAACATTGTGATTACATGTATACTCCTGGATACTCTTTGATTGGTTTAGTGGAGAGTCAACATAGAAATATGCAAGAGATGTCATGTCTTGCTTTCCATGAAAACTTGGACACTTTGTAAGTAAGTTATATTGTACCATAATAGTTGAGATGAATATCTATGTGATAAGGTTATTGTATAGATTTATTAAGTCTAATTGAAAGTAATTCTTCTGTGTAATCCATATGAGTAATGTGACTACGACTTTGCATGTTGATGGCTTGACTATGATTTTTAGGATATTTTAGTTACATTAAGGGTTATTTCACATTGGAATACATTCGGCCTAGCCTAATTATTTTCGCTATATTTTAGTAACTCTAGCCTAGTATCAGAATTTGATCAACCCATGAGAGTAGAATAAATACGCATAATCAAAAGACCATAATCATGAAAATTTGATCAAACCATGAAATCAAAATAAATACGCATAATTAAAACACCATAATAGTGAATACACATACACGCATCCCATGACATCGTTCAAACATGACGGCATTTCAGGCCATATCATCAAAAAACTGTCAGTAAAAGGGGTATTTCCACGGAAATCTAAAAGCATATCCCATAAGATTTGAATGAAATGAGAACTCTCCAATGACTTTGAAAGCGATGTTTCTAATAACAAAGATTTTCATATTCACTGGGCTGTCTGGAGTTTCCCCACATTCTTGAATACATATTCTTTTCCCACGAATTCTTCTGGCGACAATGCAAATTAACCGAAAAAGTTTTGCGCGATGGTATGGTTTGTTCATGTTTGGTCAACTCGATGCAACTTTAGCGAAATTTATCCTAAAACCCCATAACTATGAGATGGTTGTCTCTCTTCATATTGTAGTGACTCGATCTAGTAAAAATCGAATGTCTTTTTTACTCATTCAAGTAAAATGGGAAAGAAATTTGTGAAAGGCTGAACTGATTCTTGATTGAATTCATAAATATATATCATCCACATAATAAAATTTTATTTTTTATGTTTATTTACTACTCCCATCATAGTGACTTTGGCGTCACACCCGTTAACTGTCCCAGAAAAATACAAAACTTGAGTTCTTTTGGTCGAATCTTTGACGGACACTTATCAAGGGGACATTTGGCCCGAGTACTAGAATTTAGCCATCAAGAACTATACTTCAATCAGACTTCGAACTTGTTCCCAACAATTTACCACGACGGTGACTGCGAACAGTTTCTGTGTCTCTGCAATTCTTCTTGTCTTCATACAGGACGCACACAAATCGAAGTCATTGACATGAGTTATTGTAAATGTGCAATATTTTTTTCCATCTCAAATAATAATAGGAGATACGAGTAATAATAAATCATTACACAAATAATTTACAAGGGAATCATCTATGCAAATTTTCTCTATTCTTATTCTTTGTTCTTTTTTCTGTCAAGCTTAGAAAGAACTCTAAATGATAACCGTTCAAATCCAAGTCGAAACAGATCACGGTTACCATGTCAGATGCCACATATAGCAGACACTTACTATGTACATGTTCTGCTATCTGAACCCAAATACCACAAGCAAATTGTCGTAACATAAAGCCTATTCAGCAAAATGCACCATGAAGAGCTACAATAAGTCCATAAACCAACTTATTGACACCAACGAGTAAAACCATCTTGTGCTTCAGGTCCCCATAAATAGTAAAGAATGAGCTAAAGTATTTGCTGGAGTAGAAACAGCTACAGCTAAAATTTTACAACCTGCTAAACGAGATCTACACATGATAGCAACGAAATTTGACAGGACAAAATCTGTAAAACTATATGTGGTGTTTCGGTCAAACAAAAAACGCAGAGCTTAAGTGATCATATACAGAATCAACACCACATCTGTGAAGGATGATCCTCTAGATGATACCTTGTTCCCAAAAAAAATTTACAAAATTTGATTGTGTGGACTACGAATTTCTTCAGTGCCCACTCAAATCAGCAATGTTTGACGAGTTAACTGTTATCCTTAAGTAGTTTTCTACCAGTGCCCTACCTGGAAGCCACGTGTCATACTCAGTGCTACAATTTCAGCAGTATGAGGATTCAAGGCCCTGCCCTTCTTCCCTGATGGTGTGTGCCACTTTTCATAGTAAGAATAAAACCATAAAGCTAGTGTACCATATAGTACCTGGCCAGGTTTATATTCCCTGTCTACGACATAACAAATATTAAAAGGGTCGGTTGGTTAAATATACCACGCACGGCTTCGCTGTGTGCTGTATGGACTATCAAGACATATGGCCGACACAATTTCTTTCTCTCCAATAGGGTTGGCATAACTGCCGACCCTCCGAAACACATAACAAGGATTGGGCAGTGTTCAGCAGCCGGTCCTTAGAATCAATGTGTTACCTGATTTCTAGCAGAGGTCTGAGAATGCAACTGATCCTCACGACACTTTCGATCCGAGAATGTATCAGAGGCGGGGAGAATGGATTCCCACGAACCATTCCGTGATCGCGTGCGCCTCCCGGGCATGCGGGAAATTCGCGGGTCCAGTCTATGTTGTCTACTCGTAAATTGCAGTAGATTCAGTAGCTTGAACTGGCACGAAGCGTAGAGGTTTCGGAGGCGTTCCCTCGCCCCGGGAGTACTCTAAAGCCCTCTACTTTGGACGTATCTTTAGGCCGAATAAACTGCACGATCGGCTCTTGGTCGTGTGCTCTTGGTGGTCTTCTAGCGATCGATGCGCCTCGGTTTCTGAAACAGAATCACCGGCTGCTCCCGTACAGCTTGAGATCATTAGGGGCGTTGTCTTTCGGCGGGTGAAGTAGCAGAGCACCTCTTCGTACAAGTGCCTTGTGACGTAGCATCGCTGGTCGTGCTGTTTCACACGAGGGCGAGATTCAGTTTTCTCAGCGTCCAGTTCCCCTGTTCAAACATCTATTCGGTGCATCACGCGGGTCGGCTTGTAGCAGTAATCAGAAATGCTGTTCAAAGTTGGATCTTCAGTGGTCAACGCAATGCTGGTGCCGCACTTCATGAACGATGGAAGATCAGTCACATCGGACGTGATAGGATCATGAAAGTTCGATCGTCGAGATGTGACGGTAAAAAAAATCATCGAGGGGTGGGAAGTCGGTCAAAGGAAGTGGTGGCTCACCAAACAGGAGGTTGATGATACTCACAGAAGAAGCATTTCGACACGTCTGGATCTACAGCTAGGCAAACGCTGTAAAACTAAAAGAATGCGCGAGATATATGTAGGCCCAGATTTCGCGCGTGAGTATATTGAAACCAGTGATGATATTGTTGCATCGCATCGAATAGTAATGTACAACCAGGTAACAGGTCATCCTCACGCTTCCACCCTGCACGAAATGTAAGAGCAATGCTCGGAGGCCCCATGAAGGTCACAGAGGTCCTTTTCCCCGGACAAAAACAGAACCTCCGGTTGAAAACAAGGTGCTGTCACGTCCCGTCCACCCACGCTCCCTAAAGTAGTCGCCTTTACCCTAAATTTGATAAACTAAATTGAACTATGCTCATCAGGATATTATTTCCCCGTCCTCAAGATACTCTCCTTCCTCAAAATCTTCCTCTTTGAAAGGTACACCCTCTAACTCTTGAGGGTCTTGGATTCTATCACCGACAATTTCATCCGGCACTAAAACCTTGGGGGGAACAGCCTTCGATATTTTAGCAGAGGCAAAGTTGCCTAGACTACCGGGGAGGAGAACATGAATTGTTGGATATTCGACGATGGACTTGTCTGCCAACTGGTCCTTCAGAGGGTTTCCTAGAGTAAGTTCGAAGTACTCCTTCTCTGCTGCCTGGAAGTCACAGTAGATAAATCGGAACAATTTGCTTAGTTGGCTTCAGACTGGACATTTCTCAAAGACCATCTTGTCGGGGTTTGGAATCGGCAAAACATTGGTACTTTACACTTCGATTGCAAAACGTTTTAAGACTTAAGTTATCAGGTCAGCTCACCGAGCATGGCTCTTTGGGAAGCAGTAACACCAGCTCGTGGAGAGGCTTCCAGCGAAAACTCCTCAAGAGATACCTCACTGTCACGTTCTCCGCGTCATGGGCCAAATGTTTTGCAAGCACGCTCTCCAGAGTCGAGTTCTCGTCCACTCTGAAAGACATGACGGGTGATGAAGTCTCGCAAATTAGACCGTTTAAGGTCCCACATTCCTCAGCGAATGTAATTTAACTTTTTAGCAACCAGTCTGGGGGAAATAGACCAATAAGTTTCAGTCCAAGAATCTCAAAGTGAAATATCTCACCGACTGTCAACGAGTCGAACATCCGTTCCTTCGAATACCCACTCAACCCTCCAGAATATGCGCTTATTCCTGTACAACGGACCCGGCTCCAAGTGTTACAGAAACTCGAGCGCAATTCTTGCAATCGGAGATTCGGGAAGAAGTGCTTAAAGTTCTGCCACGACTCGAGGATCAAACAAGGCATTCAGAATGATCAGTTACAGGCTTACCAATAAGCCAACTGCAGAGCAATTTTGACGATACCTTTTGTCAAAGTAAGAAGTATTCACTGCCCTCTTGGTCATGCCATGTGCTAAGAGCAGAAGAGTAGTAGAACGAGCTTTCGCCTGTTTCTGCAGCGCTTTCACTTGAGGAGGTACTTCATTCCTCACGCCCGAAGTAAATGGAGCTCGGAGCCTCTTAGCTGAATCTGCTAGCCTGAGTGTTTCCTCCAATAGATTGTAATCTGAAATAAGCCAATTATCGTTGTAATCATTGATGTTGACAAACTCTGTGCGCTTCCTCTTTCCATCACATTTGGTGCGTTCCTTGTGAGACTTGACGCACTTAACGCCACATGTACGGAACCCACAGCCAGGACACCGATACTTGCTCTCCTGCTCACAGCATTCCTCGCAAACCATGCTCATAGCCCTCCCCTTGGCCTGGCCCTCGACTTCTGCCCCACAAGCCTGCTCTTCGTTAGAGATGAGCGCACCATTGGCTGCCACAGCCGACGGCATGGCACGAAAGCCACGACAAATTCAATCGACGGTTTAAACCTTAAACTGTTCTCGATACTTCATCGCCGCTGCCTCTTCGTCGACGGGCTCCTCACTCCTTCTCGAATTGCTCGGCCACTGTCGTCGGATGCACGAGCTCATGCCATCTCTCTGAAATTCTCTACTCAGCGTCACGTCGTCAGATTCTCAATTCCTTACTTGCACGTTGCTAAACCCTAAATATTGCCATTTGTCATATTTCACTGACTCTTACAACTTGGCTTCGGTGGCCTGGCGGTGCCCCTCCCGTCGCCAACGCGATTCGACGTTTTTATGACAATCAATAACCTCATATATTGCGAAACCTTCATCGACCATCTTTCTCTGATGTATTTTACCAAAACAAAAATCAGAACTTATCCGAATACAATGTGATCCATACGGAGCTCATCAGTGTAAGTAATGGAGGAAACATAATGTGAGTGATTTTATACATACCAAGCTCACGCATGTTTGAGTATATTGATTTGGTGTACAATATATCGAAAATATCAAAGAAATGATAAAGTGAATACTTATTTTGATTGAAATGATATTAATATATATTTCTGATAAAGCGCTGGTTACTAAATCGTAGTAATAGATGAAAGTGGATGTATAGATCTTACTGTAAAAGGAATGCAAAACTAAACCAGACAAGGACTTAAAAATTAATAACCATGGAACTACCTCAACACGAGGATACGACTTTAGTTAGAGATTCAAGTCAAGAAATTACTTGGACTCTAACTTGCATATTGTATTAGCAAAATCAGTTCTATGTACAGTGTATGATATACAGGTTTCAAAGCTCACTTTCCAAAACTTTTTATGGAAATTGGTTGGTAAACTAACAAACCTGTGAACTAATCCATGGAGGGTAAAGAATTTGAGATATAAATTTGAACTGGAAACATATAAAGTTTCATTATCATTGGTGACACATCTTGTTACACACGTGAAAGTGATCAGATAAGGTAGAGAAACTGTAATATCAAATTTGGATTTTAGCAGTTAAGAATTCATTTAACTTTACCAGAAACATATCTCTCTACCCAAATGAGACTAAAGATATGGCTAACAGGAAAATTTTCATATTTTAAAACGCTTTTGGAGTTGACAATTCTCTAGAAAATTTGGACTGCAAAAAAATTTCATTATTTGTTCAAAATTTAAGAGTTACTGCAACAAATAGTTCTTACCATTCTCAGATGTTTTACAGATTTAGGTTTTCATGGATTTCATTATTTGTTGAAAATAATACATTATGGAATGTGACTGCAAGAAAGTATGATTCCTGTAAGTCAAATGGGTTTCTTGTTGTCAAAAATTTCTCAATAGAATGAAAGAATTTATAATGTCAGTCAAGAATTATGAGTAAATGTTGTAGTTGTGAAGATAGATCCAATAGATTTTTGTTGCCACAGTTGTCAACTAACAATATAAATCCTCACCAAGAGGTTTCCAATATATTCTTCAATTTGATTTAATTTACACAAAATGATGATAATCTCATCAAAAGCCATATAGAGTAAAAGCAGAAATAAACATAGTCAGATCCAAGTTTTTTGATCAAATATATCTTCTTATATTTTGATCTAAGAACTATATGCATTTTATAGGTAGTAGCGCTAGAAGTTACACTACTTAGGTCAATGAAGAAAATCAAGCATAATCTAGATTTGTTCTATATACTTTTAATGAGTTGACTAAGATGATCGATGATCATGATTCAATCATGTGGTTGGGTTGGTTGAGTAGAGGCTTGTGATTGGAAAAAAGTAACAACATCAACGTGAAAAATATTTTTGATTTTACGTTAAAAAAAAGTAGAGATACAGAAATTGAGAGCATTTGGTAGTCAAATTCAGTATGCTATCAAGTCAGTAGTTCAAACGAATTCACTATATTTACTAAACCGCGAGATAAAAAAAGAGATAACAACATGTTTGTCACATATCTTAGAGAGATTGTTCCCTATATGATAAAACACAAAATCTGGCAGAGTATTAACCGCTATGATAGGGGCATATTTTCTAGCATAGTATATCACCCAAGAATAAGAAAAGAAAAAGCAAGAAATTGCCGAAGAACTTTAATAATCTAATATAAAAATAAATCATATGTAATTTTTTTTTTCAAATTATAATACTAGATCATTTAGGTATTTTCTTATGTCGCTCGATGATACAAATGAAGAAATTATTATTATTTGATTTTTGGAAGAACTAGCTGCATAGTACCTTGATCAATTTGAAATTGATCAATTGATCATTACCTTGAAATTGATCAAAGTTGTGATGTAATATTACAACTTCTAGCTCTAGTTTTCAATTTATATTAAAAATAATAATCAAATTTTATTGACTGTATTGCATGTTTACAAATCTAATGAAGATAGTCTTTCCAATGATACGATAAGAAACTAACCACTTATTCTTGATGCACTGTGACTGACAGTGAACTTTAACTAAAAAAAGTCAAGTGAAGTTGACGGAATATTTTGTGGTCACATCCAAACAAGAAAGCGTAATGTTGAAATTTATCCGTGGGGTACGACCTCTTCTCATCAATGGTTCCAAACTGTGCATAGCCTCTAAACACCGTCATCATGATTGATCTATTTCCATCTTGGACCTAGGAAAACGCTATTTGAAAAATGAGATCAATGGGAGGTGAAGCCCGAAAGCGTACCGAGTAGATGATAGCCAGAGCAAGTGAGGTTACAGCTATAGCCATGACTTCAGACATTGACATTGTACCGAAATAGTCATAGATGAAGTGTCTACGAGCAAGTGTTTACACCAACCGACATCGACATTCAATTATGGCACATCTCCACCTACCAACCATTCTCCACCATTATACCGAAGGACAGAGTATATTTATCTAGCGCACCAACCCGGGACATCCCCGCCCACTATACGGTATAAGCCCATGCGTTGGAGACCCCACTCGTTTAGAGACAGGCCTTCTATCCATTCAATAAAACATGCCGTCTAACCGCATGGCCTCGAACCCACAGGCGCGGCGAAAACCGGTCCCCCCGGTTCAAGTTGCATTGTGACCGAACAATCGTCCGCTCTTCGATGGTGCGTTACCGGCTACACTGGAGCGTAACTTGAGAACGCCTATACAACTGCCACGGGTCACATCCCGTAATAATTCGGACGTCTGTTGGAAAGGTCCGTTAATTAACGATAAGAGAGGCGGGTTACGCCTAATACGACGCGGGCAAGGGAGCGGGGGGAGGCGGGGTCCGGTCCTCTCGTCGAATATGAACGTACGGGAACGAGGAGGGAAGATTCGCGCGCATCTGGGACCGCGATTGGTGAGGTGGCTGGAATTGACGGTTAGGATGCAGGCCACATTGGCAGGCGCGGCGGAGAGGAGCGGAGCGGACGCAGCGAAAGGCGGAGGAAGTGAACGCCCGGACATGGGGAAAAGTGGCCAGCAGAGGCGCTGCTGGCGCGGAGTAGCAGCAGCAGCAGACGAGAGCCAGCCGGAGGTGGGGAGGGGGGGAGGAGAGGGAGGCAGAAGCAGGCGCAGGGGCCGACGGAAGCAGAGAGCGCTTAGAGCCGAGCGGAGCAGCAGACGAGCGAGGGAGAGAGAGAGAGAGCAAGCGTAGTTCTGGAAGTTTAACGGAAGCATTGCCGTGTGGCGCAGGGTAGAGAGTTTGCGAGGACTTTGTCCCTATTTCCATGATTCCACGAGGAAGACGGTATACCAACGCAGGGTGATTGTGTCTCTCCTAGTACGTGGGCGATTTCATCGGCGCGGCGGGGTATTACGAGCAGGAGCTTACGAGTTACTGGCCAGCCGGCCTCGAGAGCAGCAGCAGGGGAGGGAGATGAGGTGGCCGGTCGGATGATGAGTAAGCAGGAATGTTGGAGCGAGGTGTGGATAGGCGTTGGTGTAGCGAACGTTAGTAGGCGTCGAGATCCATCGATTCGTTAGGTTGGACAGGGCGGGGTTCGAATTCGCGCCCCGAACCAACGGCACGGTGGAGCTCTCCTATAAGAAGGCTCGGGCCTGTGGAATTTGTTGCTGTGCAGGGCCTCTGGGCAGACAGGAGACCTCCGGAGTCGACTCGAGAGAGGAAGGGGGAATGCAGGCCTCGTGAAATTTTGCTGCTGCAGTTCGGAATATCGCTAATTTACTGGCCGATTGATTCGACTGGATTGCATTGCCGTCCTGTCGAGAGCTACAATTTCGGTCTACACGTCGAGGGAAGAAAGGGCGTTTCTTATGTTCTGCGTTTTGCCCCTCGTCCGTATCAGCTTTGCGATCCTCTTTCCCTGCCAATTCCTCCCCCTTGTCGCCACATTCTGTGATAGCTGACGATGAACTTTCACGCTCTGGACCTTTTTTCCGCTGCCCTGCTTTCTTGGGCTCCTTTATCGGTTGGGGCAGAATTGTGCGCGGAGTCGGATTATGGGCAGCAGAGTTGTAGAGTTCTACCCTAATGTGCTCGGCTAGTTTTACGAGCGCAGATGTTCACTGAGCATTTGTGTCTGAAAAACTTCCCGGCCGTCTTTGAGAAGCTCGAGTTCCTGACGAAGGGGCGGAAACTTCTCTCACCTTCCTACGAAGAAGAGGTGTTACTGCCCAGGAGCACAACCAAGCTTAGTCGCCCTTTCGAACGTTTCTCTTCTCCGAAATGAACACGAATATCTAAGTTTTGAAACCGAGCAAAGCGATTTTCCGAGAAGTTTTACAGGTGCCGGCATTGTTTCAGTGCGAGGGCGAAGCACAGGTTAATTGAGGATTTTCTCAAAATTGGCGAAATTTTACAGACGAAATTCAGATGAACCTGAGGATTCGGTGACAACAACTCAATTTTTTCTAGCTTTATGTGGGAGTGCTGACTCGGTCGTTAGGGAGGATTACCTCGCCCAAAGGACGGTAATATCGAAACCAGATTCGTGACGAGGTTCGGGTCGCACTTGAATTTCCGAGTCGTCTCTGAAATTTTGTCAACTTCGAAGACTTTCGTGGACACCAACAGTACATAGGTCTGGTGGATCTGCTTTGAGGGTTATAGCTGTGGAGCCCAAAACTGATCGCAGAACCACGCGGAGGTGGATCCGTCGCCATAGGGTGTCGCATTCCCTTTATTTGGTTGACAGGTTACTTCGGTCCCACAGAAGTAGACGTTCCGTGACATCGTGACTCTCCAGTTTGGATTCTTGGAAGCACGTAAGCGGATTGGGAATTCTCAGAGGAACTGTAGTCTTTCGGTTCATTATGCGAAAAGAGGATGTGAACATATTTCATGCCGTGTCACATGCTTCGACCTGAGGCCAACCAGCGGGCACCCTGATCGCCAACTGCGATTTTAGAAAGAGTGGCGAAATCCGGACAAGCTGACAATCAGCAGCTTGTAAGTGGAACAGTATGCAGCGCCAGTTGTTAGGACAAACGCAGCTTCGGCGGAGCAAATACCGGGTGGGAAGTGGAGTCCTCGTCAGATTTCTGTGGTTGTGCGGTTATCTCAGTGTCACCTTCGCCGCTTTGCTGTCCACCTATGCTTTCCCGGAGTTGCTGTCAGTCTTCCGCCAGCAACGTAGTCAAAAGTACACGAACTATCAGATCACGGCTAAGGTATATTGCCTCCTTTATTTTTGAAACAAGTGAGCAAGCCAATTCGTTTCTGCCGTAATGTCAAGTATTTCTGAAGTATTTAGTCGGGGAATTCTCACGTAAACCGGTAAATGGAAGGTACAATTTGGACACCATACCTGAAGCGAACGAAAAAACGAAACATGGTCATGAGTTTGTAGATAGGTTTGGAATCACCGAGTCTTGACCTTCGATATGACACGATGGATAATTATCTTTTTCAGTTATAAGTTCAACTCTCCCCACTCGGTCAGAGGATAGAGGAAGAACTTATTTAGATCTGAAGACTTTATTCGTGACAACAGAGTGCTGAATGCCACTCTCAACAGCGTGAACACAGTCACTGTGGTGTTCGAGTTTCTACACTTCTTAATCTTGGAACTTTCAATCAAACATCTCTGCTTAACGAGAATAAAGTGCCGCTGATAGTTATCGGCAAATTTTTGAGTAATCATAGGTCATCAGTCAGATCGAGAGTCTAGGGATACTCGTCATATGTATTGTGCACAAATTACGGCTCAAATCAAGCAACTATGCCAACGGTACGCAAGGTTGAGTGATATCAGATGATCTAGGGCAAACTGTTTGTATTCTCAATCTTAGACGACGACTGAAAATGCACTGATTTGAGGAGATTTTCTTCATGTTATAATGTTTGTTCTCGTGATAAAAGGAACACCACTGCAAACTGTTACGCTTGAGGTCATGTGTATCGTTGTTCAAGCCAAATGAGTTTCTCAAGAGAATAGTTACATCGCATTGGTGTGAACGTTTCTTGCTGGGGTGATGTATCTGAGAGTATGATGGTGATCCGATAAAATATTACCTTTGCCTTATTCACCTTGTGGAACCGTCTGTTTCTCTGTACTCCAGGGTGGTGATCTGGGAGTACAAAGTAGAAGAACTGAACTAAGCTGGAAACAGGAATTCCTCCCACCTCATGTTTCCCGAGGAAATCTGGCTAACGTAACAGCTGATAACCACGATGGCTACAATAAGGTTGGAATCCTCTATTGCATGAAAAGGACACGCATATTCTTCATTTTCAACAGTTGGTGTTGCATGAACATCTGATTTGCTTTCTCCTATGTGAAATCACTTGACAATGTGTTCATAGTGTAGTTTGCTCTGTTGATGGGCTAGAATTGATAAGTATGTGGAAGGTGATTGTTGAGCTCCAGTGTACTTATCGTATATTCATTCAGCAACAAACTCATGTTAAACGCCGCGTTCAGCTCTACTTTGATGGCTTTCAGTTTATTTACTCGTGGATCTTGATCTATTCATGATGAGCATGTTCTTGCTATTACCATCTAAAGTTGCTTCCTACTTGTGATGTCTCTCGAGAATGAAGTTGTGGAAGCCTCCACCAAATAGAGAGTACACCGCCTGTGTGGATCCCAGCTCAAAATATAAAGGTCAGTCAATGGGTTTATGCCTAAGCTCTTGTTTAGAATGACCTCTCTCTATTGATGGTATACCGATGAATGTCGAATCAGCTTGTTGCCCGAAGACAGTCGAGGATCACTCAGTCATAGTACTGATCCATGTTTGTTTTCTATCTGCTTGGCCTGATACGAATGGATCAGCTCCTCCGTTGCAGTCAAGAGGATACCTACTAGTGTCAACCAATGGCGGCCTCAATCAGATGCGCGCTGGGGTAAGGATTCACTTTAATCCTTGTACTTTTCTCCTCTGAAAGTCAGTAGACACGTTACGCAACTACTTTAATGGGTTCATCTCTTTCAAGGCTATGCCGCTTCTTCTTCGATCCTTTTCCGACCATTTTTTACCTCTAAATGGCCACAAGACTACGTTGTATATTCGCTGATATTAAACATTGTTTAATCTTGTTCTGTGACTCGTGTATATATCTACAGATCTGCGATATGGTGGCAGTTGCTCGTCTAATCAATGCCACGTTAGTTATTCCCGAGCTTGACAAGCGATCATTTTGGGCAGATAACAGGTACTACACACGTGAAAGCTGCTTGGTAGTTTGAACGGTCATGTATGCTCTTATATCCCTCAGTCAGTGCTATCGTTGGCACCGGAGAGTCCTATAGAATCTAAGCTTCATTCCAGTTGAGTGAGGCTGGTGTAAGCTAAGACCGTTATTGTGCGTGCTGTGCAGCAATTTCTCGGATATCTTTGATGATGACTACTTCATAGAAGCACTGCGAGGGGACGTTCCTGTTGTGAAGAAACTTCCCCCTGAACTTGCGAGTGCCCCCAGGGCAAGTAGGCAATTTAGGAGCTGGTCCAACACGAAGTACTACGAGGAAGAGGTTGCTTCCTTGTGGGACGAATACCAGGTACTTTCGTTGTCCTCGCAAATGCTATTGAAGACTTTTATCGGGACGGAGATTAAGCCTTCTTTGGACGGATTTTGATGAAAGCAAGTACTATTTGTGAACGCGTTGTTATTAGATGAAGCTTTAGGCTTAACGTTTTCGTGCGCAGGTTATAAAAGCATCCAAATCGGACGCAAGGCTAGCAAATAATGATCTACCATCAGATATTCAGAAACTTCGGTGTCGTGTACATTATGACGCACTTCGCTTTGCACCTGTTATTGAAGCCTTTGGGAAGGTACCTGACGTCCTTCAACTGTGTCCATTTCAGTCAACGAGTCACTTCAGGTCTAATTCATGAACGTCAGTGGCAGAGTCTAATGTATGAATCCAAAGTAATTCGTGTTGGCAATTCGAGCCAAATTTTCTTGCCATATTTATTCCAGATGAATGCTGAATATAGTCGAGCCTGACTAAGCTTCTTTTTTTGATATGTCTGGATGGGTTTACATCATCGTTCTGGTGCTACTTTTCAGATGCTGGTGGAAAGGTTGAGAGCGAATGGTCCTTTTATTGCTTTACACTTGCGCTACGAGAAGGATATGCTGGCCTTTAGTGGCTGCACGTACGGTTTAACTGATGAGGACGCTGACCTGCTAACACTTATTAGGTAATTTTGCTCTACATTGAGAACCAAGTGTGCATGCACAAGTCGTTTATCTGTGGTTATGTCCATGTACCATACCGATCACCAAGTCTCTTATGTAGCCCCTGATTAGTGTTACTCGGATTCTGTCAGATATCGAACCCCTCACTGGAAAGTCAAGGAAATAAACGCAGCGGAACAGAGAGCAAAGGGCTTTTGCCCTTTGACTCCCAAAGAGGTCGGTATTTTTTTGAAGTCTCTGGGATACCCCGAAAGTACACAAATATACGTCGCTGCCGGTGAAATTTATGGGGGCGATGAGCGAATGGCTGATCTTCGAATGTATTTTCCGAACTTGCTGCGGAAGGTTACTATACATCCCACTTCCATTTAAATGCAGTGAAAGGACTTGTGTCACTCTATTCCTGAGTCATGTGAAGAACGTCCCCAAAATGAATTTGTAAAGAATTTGGTTTTCTTCCACAAGTGATAATTAATAGAGATAGATGAGTCCTCGGGTATAGGTATAAGTCCTAGAATATATATCGGAAACCTATTACATCCTTGTCACTGGTGATTGAAACAAATTTAGCCTCGCAATAGCGAGAAAGAGAGAACTGATGTGTACTTTGTATCTTGAAGCAAGGGGAAGTGTGCCAACAATTGCTCTAACTTGACTCCGTAGACAACGTCTCATTGTCTACCTTGTTCTGATTTGTGAATTTCTCTTGGACACAGGAAACAGTGGCTACGGCGGATGAACTTGCGCCCTTCAAAAATCATGCATCGCAAATGGCTGCACTGGACTATATTGTGTCCGTGGAGAGTGATGTCTTTGTGCCCTCCTATTCAGGGAACATGGCACGAGCTGTTGAAGGACATCGTAGATTTTTAGGTCATCGGAAGACTATCATACCTGACAGGTATCTTCTTCAAGCTCAGGTCGAAGATGTTCGATTTGTGTCTAGAGAAGCTTGTCTGAATTAATTAGCTGATTAGTAAAGCTCTTGCCATCATCGAGGTGCTTACTCACTGGCACATCATATTTGTTGCACATAACAGGAAGGAGCTTGTGGCTCTCTTTGATAAACTTGAAATTGGAGAATTGGAAGAAGGTTCAGAGCTTTCAAGATCCATAGTGTTACTTCATCGGCAAAGGTAGGGATTCCACTTACAATCGCATCGCATAGTGCATGCACACTTCATATGCATTTGGAGATATCTTTTTCTTAGAAGACCGTCGTTCCGTCTGTATTCTTAAAGTAGTCATCTGATTAACATGGAATATGGGTGACTGCAGGCAAGGAGCACCCAGAAAGAGGAAAGGTCCGATAAAAGGAACAAAAGGAAGAGATCGATTCAGGACCGAAGAAGCCTTCTACACAAATCCTCTTCCCGACTGTCTGTGCACAAAGCCTGGTATGTCGGGTAAAGCTAGCAGTAGCAGAAAGCATCAAACATTTTTGCATGCCGTATCAGACCTTGGTAGCAAAGTGGAGCACCAAGCTGTGATGGCGGCAAGGGATCTCCAGCAGTAGCTTTTCCAAGTGAGGCTGTAGTCTCTGTATAATGTGCATGGAGCTGTAGAGTAAATGATTCAATTTGATCCATTATGGATCCTGCTGCGTTGTGTATCTTCAACACACAAATGTATATCTGCAAGATGTACGGGCTAAGTGATGAAGTCTCGGAAGCCAGACCACGAATTTTTTATGCGCAGTTATCAGAAAATGGTCGGATTTTCTGTTGTCAAGCCCGGTATATCTTAGAAATCTTACGTCTTCCACTGAACCTGAGGTCCAGTCTAGTAGGATCACGTTGGAGCCCGGAAATTTGTAAAGCCTTTGTTACCGGGCCAGAAGATATACCATTTCCAGTGTAAGATCTGATACTCTTAACAAATCCAAGATGGCAGCTGGTGTCGGAGCAGATTTAGCACACATGGAAGCGCAGTTTTGTGGACTGGTTGGCGTTGAAGGATGCAGAAGCTCATTTGTAGAAAATGGAGATTTTGTAGGCCGGTTCTATGATAGCGCAATTGTACGTTTCTCTGCTGTATACGCGAGATTTGTAACAAGGACCCTCTTTGTACAGTATGCCAGGTGATTTTCTGTCCTATTTGCCTGGATGAGCAGTACCGTCGTCTTCCCTTGAAGTCGAATCGATGGTAATTTCCAATCTTACATGGTAGCCAAAGTACACTTCGAAATTCATACTTTCTACAACAAGCTGATTATGGTAGATATTTAGTTTTAGAATAGCTTTTATGGCGAGCGAAAATTATTCCAAATGATGAAAAATCTAGCAGAACTTTGATAAACTCTTCCCACAACATCAAAATGGTCAGCAGCAGCACCTTCATCATCAATCACACTTCATATACCGCAAGAGCAAAAGAAAGTATTCACTCCGAGTCGTGATTCTTCAATATAAGCTTGGCTTCTTATACTAAAAAGTACATGGCGAAATCATGGGATATAAGAGCCTATGTTTCTGCCGAGGTACAAGTCCATAACAGCTTCTTTGTTAGCTGCACGGGCGTCATGGTCTCTCTTGCAGTCTACGCCTGCCTCCTCCTGAAGGAAAGGGAAGCAACGGGAAGATGACAGTCCTTCACCCACCTGACGTACCGGTGTCCATGAAGCAGATGTCCGGCACACGGCGAGTGGGACGATGACCGTAAAGCCCACAGTCTTCAATTCCACAATCCACAAGCTAACTGGACGATCTCTTGCGTTTGCATGACGCAAATCCCCAAAGTTACTCCCGTTGGAGTGAATGTCCTGTTTAGAAGGTCTGGTGTCCCCCGCGGATGTCCCACCCACCAACCGGTCACCGTCTTCGGCGTCGAGGGAACAACGTCGGCGAGGTCAGATTCCCGGTAACTCGCCGAGGACCCTTCATTTACGGTAATCTTGTCAACCTTGTAACCTTAGTCACCAGAAAACTTCCCTTTTTCTACTTGGCCCTAGCCCATGTCAACCGTTTGGTTTCATCCCTGTATGGCCTAATGGGTCTTCTCATACTTTTTACTACATTACTTGGTGCCTCACGACCGCTTGTCTCAAGCCATCTCATAAGTTGATCCAAACTGCACTACCGTAGAGGTTTTCCTGTTGACCACGTAGCATTGGGTGGTCTACCACGTAAGAGGCAAACGGAAATGGTGTACACTGCACAGAGACGAGGAGACGGGGGACCCTTGCGTCCTGCAGGAGCAGAAAACAGCAAGCGCCACACGGGGAACGGGCCGGAGGGAAGTGTCCAGCCCAAGGGAAGGGGATGGGAGGTAAGATGGCAGCTGAGGAGAAAATGAAGAAATTGAACGAGATAGAGTGCTGTTTTCGTGGGGATTCTACTTTCAATCACGGCGTTAGGCGCAGGGATTTTTGTTGATGACAAGATTGGAGCCATTGGAATCATCGGACTGCACCGCACTACGTCCATTGCCTTGCAGTTCGGCAACCACTGCCGGATGATTGGCTTGCAGGGAACGAGTCGAGAGAGAGATGCTTACTCATCTGAGCTCGCTACTGGCAATTGCTGTGAAATTCGGATTTGGGGCAGGTGCGGACTCACTGTACATACGCTCTTTGGCTCGTTGCCGGCTTATTGCGCAGAGAAGGGGTGTGGGCAGATTACGAGCGAGGACTAGAGAGAGGGAGAGGGAGAGTTCTTGTATGTCTTGTACAGATCGATGTATTCGAGAAGTTGAGAGGAGTTAGAACGAAAGAGAGATAGGAAGGGCAACCACTCCTGTGCATGTTTGCGAGATGCTCAAGTCATAGAAATTGAAAAGGAACGCACTCTAGAGTCGGTTTGACGAGGGCCGCAATTCTCAGTGGAAGGACGAGATTTACGGTAGGGTTCGCGAAGGCTGGGGCCGCGACTTGGAGCTTGAGCGTGACATGGTAAAGGAAGATGCGAACCCGCGAGAATTCGACCAAGGACATACTGGGTGGTGGTGTTGGCAGTGGTGGGAAATGATTCGGTGACGCAGGCGCTTCAATTGCCCAAGATTTTACATGAGAATTGAGAACTACGAGTGATACAAGCAAATGGCAAGGCGAAGTAGCGTGTGTGGAATTTGCGAGGGAGTGAACCTACCCGCTGTCTGTGCAGCCTGCTGCAATGCCGGGTCGGTAACCGAAGGTTTTTTTTGCTCGCCATTTTTTCTAGTTTGTCACAGGAAAATATTCACGTTTGGAAGTGCTTCGGTGGAGTTTCGGATCTGATTTCACAATTGGTGACCATTACAGATTGAACGATAAGTATAAAATCTTGAAACGTGTCACCCAACACCGCGATGATGTAAAACGCCGCTTGGAGGCTCAATTGGCTGACAAGGTGAGACTGCGTTTGGTGTTCGTCAGTGTAATTAGAAGTTATTTTGTCACAGAGCTTTGGGACTAGGGGCATCAACTTGATCGTGTTTTAACCTCTAAGCTTCATCTTGGTACAGCGGGAAGCGGAATCGCAGCGGAAATGGAGAATCGAACACGGAGAGCGCAACGCTAAACTTCGTGAGCAGCTGCGAACATCTAGCAACGACTTGATCAAAGGTTGCTCTTGATTACTCCGTGATTGAATGAGTCTTGATTCTGGAGGCTGTCATCTTTATTATTGGTCAAAAAATTTGGGTCAGTGACATACACGTGCTTAGAAGGGTAGCAAAGAGGGCTACAATTTTATTAGCAAATGATTAGAGTCGACGCAATCCCGGGTCTTTCGTGTGTTCTGCAAAAGGCCCTATGGATTTTTTTAAGTTTCCAGCTATCAGGTGACACAGATTGCACCAAAAAGGTCTGCCACCTCCAGCTGTTTTTATTTTAATCTTATGTCATCACGGAATTATCATCAGTACGGAATTCTGGCAGCTTTGGCATAATTCGTCTTGGACGTTTGCGCCAAGTTTTGCTGGATCAGTACTTGGGCTTGTATGTTTTACTGTCTTCATTTTGCTGATGGGAAAAGTCATGGGCTCTAAATTCTGAATTACTGCAAATGAGATCTCTTGAGAAATCCCTAGGTCAAGAGTCCTCTCACTGCCATCCCGTCCTTGGAAGTATCCACTTCAGTCAGCTCTGTCATGATGAGAACAGTAAGGGTAATGTGTTGTGAGATCCACTCGTAGTGATAATAGCGACTCATTCTCTTCCTTGGGTTTGACTTTGAAATACGTATTAATATGGTTGTTACCATTTGGATGGTTTCTTATCGATTTACTACTCCATCTAATGGCTATAGCTGTCTCATCTGGTAAACTTCCCTAGCTGTGTGTTGTCTGCTAAAGCTACCAAATCCGGATGATAAAGGATAGATAGATATAGGTATCTTGACTGATTTGACTTGGTCACTTATGTTGTCACCCTGAGTTGAGAGTTCGTGAGTCGTCGTATCGTGGATCGTCGCTGAGTGCCTCAAATGTTTCACTTTCACTTGGCAGCAAAAGCTCGAGGGGAAGAACAGAAAAAGCGGCTGGACGCCCGAACCAACGCTTTGGAGCGTGCTTCCAACGAGGTCCAACCGATTACTCATTCTGTCATAGTCGAAACGATGCAAATTGTATGGTGGTTGAAGTTTTAGTTTCATATTTGATCCGTGGAGGAATTGGGACGTTTTCAAAGGTCTTCTCTTTCCTTATTTTCGAAGTATTTATAGTGGTTTGATCAGATTCTTGCAATTGATGTTCTCTCGAGGTTGTAATCAGCTGCGTCTACTCATGGAGAGACCGATGGCAAACACTTACACTTATTGGGATAATCTGAAATCAAATATTTTAGTCCACCGGACGATGTCGATAAAAAAGTGTAAATCTAAATTAATGTCCACTTTTTAATCATTGTCGTGAATCTTGTTGTGAACATGTTTTGCAGCTTACAAGAAAGCACAGGGATTTGCTTGGAAAGTATTACCCTGATCTGATCTGCACGAAAAACTTGAGCTATGTATGGGCACTATATACCTTCTCTTAAGTGAAAGATCCAAGGCTATATTGTAGTCTGTCTTCGGCATGATCATTGATTTGATTGTGAATACGATACATCAGTCTGTCGATCCATTAATACAGATTGGCGTTAAATTTCAGGATACCCTAAACGCAGAATTGATACAGAAGCGGAGGTTGCAAGTACGTCAGCTCTGCAAAATTTTACCTACACGTCGCTGCACGGTATTAGACTCGTACCTGCCTGTAAACTTCTCTTCAATATCAATGTCGAACTTTGTGTATGTTGGCTGTATTCTCGCAGGGGTCATAGGGTTTCAACCATATCTGAGCTCGCAATTTTAGTTCGTCCGTAAGGTCATTATACATGTATATAGATCACACATGGGTAACATATCTTTATTGTGATTGCAAGGGAGACGAGCGAGAAGTTCGCATTTGCAATGTCTCCTTACCACTGGATGATGATCCTACTTCAGTTTCACATAATGATCTGAGCGCATCCTTGGGGTGAGTGGATGGAGATGATCGAAGCCGAACGTTTCTTCTCTTCTTTGTTTTTTCTCTTCAAGATTGCATCTGGAAGCCAGCTGCCGCGTTGGTTGGACTTCATCAACAGTTGGTTGATTATAAATACAGGATTATGTGTACACTAGTATTTTTCACCTATGTTATAAGGTTTACAAAATTGAGAGTTTTATACTCAAGAGTCAGAGAACGTTGGATGAGTATGAACGTGTTGACGCTCCATAACATTTCACCCTTCTACCAGATATTTGGTGCAATTGTTGAATCTTACGGCACGCTATCTATCTGCTCCCATTCTTCACAGCGCCGGTTTCGCGGTATGTGGAAGTTCTTATATAGCGTCATGAGCCGTTTCTGCACACTCTGGATGTTCTGGAAAGTTCGAACGGTTAATACAATTTTTTATAAAGGGCTCAGTCTAGATGAAGTCGATGACGATTCGCTTCGTCTAGGGACCAAAAACTCAACGTTTTGATTTTTCAGCAGTGCCTTAGTCGGATCATGATTGAAAGAGTCACGATTGTGCAAGATCTAGTCATAATCCCAGTGTCCTTGCTGGATTTGACCTTGTGAACAACCAGGCGTCATCATCAAGAGTATGGCAGCGGGCGTCGTACTGGGACACCCGACCAATACATCGTGGGTATGTAGTTGAAATCCTTTTAGTACTGGCCGTTTAGAGAGCTGGAACGAGTTGATTTTCATCTATCTTTTGGAAAAGGGCAGAGGAACTTTTTCAACGTTCCTTTGCCCTTTTGCAAAGAACGGTGAATATAGCGTGCCGTAAGATTATCTCGAAAAAGGCGAGACACAGCTTGCGAAAATAGAGTGCCGTTATTTCGTCTGACGAGTATCCGAATACCATCAGGATTGTAGAATATATCTAATCGGCAACTGTAGAATAGGTTCTCCCCATCTTTCTTGATGGTCCTGATGGGAGTAAACCTCTTATTTTCATAAATTTTTTCACTTCAATCTTCATGAAATACCGTTGTTCGTGTATTCAGTTGCATCGTGAAAGGCTTGTCAAGGTTTTCGCTTTCTGTGTTTTTTCTGAAGTCATATGGTACATTATTCTTTTTTCATCAGTTCGTAGGATTCCCCATAAACACATGTTTGGTTTCTGATTTTTCCGTCGCAACTGTCCGAGTCTCCTCTTCGAGACAGGTCATTCTGCTTATACTTATTGAAGAATCTCGGAGCTGTGGCTGGTTATGCGGAAACTTGTATTAATATATAAAGATACTGTCTTCTGCAGTGAAGAGTACCCTCTGTTTCTGCCGAGGGAGAACGGGGCCGCGGAAGAGCTTGGTCACAGTAGCAGCAGCAGTCACAGTCTTGGTTTGTCCCTGACTGAGGGCTCAAGGAGTGCCAACCGAGACATGGACGTCGACGCTAGTCTTGTACGGTGTAGTACCTCCAGCAGTAGCAGCTCTAAAGAAACTCACAAAGATGTTCAGAAGGGAATCAAAATGCTGAAACGCAGTGTTGCCTCTGTAAATGTATACGGGTACAACTTATTGTCTATGCAGGTTCCTTCGGACTTGTCCACGTTCGAGTCATTTGCCGAGCTTCTGTCGATTCTTATATCTAAAGAGCCTCGAGCGAGGTTAGTGCTTCGTGACTTTTACTGCCGCCGTAACGTTTGACTGGACGTTTGTTAACTTGTCACTCATAACTGATACTTTTGCTATATCATCCAGATCATTACTTGGATTCTGTGTTAATGTTTGTTTCTTTGTAGTCCTCTCATGCCTTACCTCTGTTTATGAATCTCGTCATCCGTGACGATGAGCTTTTGAAGTCCGTTGTAGCTACGTTACGTATACTATCTGCCAGGTGACTCATGGATTTTTTATTACAACAAATACACAAACGTTTCCTGTTGAAGGTGCTGATTTCCCAAATGACAGTATCTTCGATCGAAGTTCACGTCGATTCCCTATAAATCCCGCCTACGCGTAGTTGCTTGCTAGGCCAAAGGTTTACACTCTTTGTGAAGTCCATTGACCTGCATACGAACTTTTGCAAAGAACTTTCCCTATTGGTTTACTTTCCGCTCGTCTTTGAATTAACTCCAAGACGGCAAGATTTCGTAGCCAAGCATGTAATATTGTAAATCCGTTGGAGATACAGGACGTGTTAATGCTCCAAGCTCCTAACGCAGAAGCTCACTTTCCTTTAGCGAAGTGGCTTTTTTGCTAGGTTTGCTAACACGTATCTGATCCTAGTGACCCTGGGACGTTCTTTCAGGTCTAGCAGAGGTAGCCAACAGCCTAACGGGCGATTTGGTCTTTCAGAAGGTCACACGTCTCGTCTGGCAAGCTGCCCATCAAGCATGCTGGAAGAAGTCAAACCAGTCAGTGACATACTGGTATCTCTTTCCACGCTCTATCTTTTACGCGAATGTTTTCTATGCCCATCTCAGAGACGGGGGGAGAGGGAGGGAGGGAGGGAGGGAGGGAGGGAGAGGGAGGGAGGGAGGGAGGGAGGGAGGGAGAGGGAGAGGGAGGGAGGGAGGGAGAGGGAGAGAGAGAGAGGGAGAGGGAGCGAGAGAGAGGGAGCGAGGGAGGGGGAGAGGGAGAGGGAGAGAGAGAGAGGGAGCGAGAGAATGTTGACAAAATAGCAGCTTGTCTTAGCCGGGAGGAGAGCGGGCGGGCGTTCATGCCGAGTACTCACTTAGAATTGTGTCTTTGTCAAGCGAGCTATACCGGGCTTGACTCGTGGCTTCGTTTTGAAAAGCAAATGGTTTTTTATTTTTGACTCAGGTTCTGGGAACCCAAATGTCAACCTGTATTTTCACTTGGACTTTCGGACTCGTTCTCAGTTTTGTGCTGGCAGCCATGCCAGTCTTACGGCATTGCAACATGGGCTCAGAAACTGAGATGTTGATTCCAACATAAGTGATTGCAATGTACTTCAGCCCTCATGTGGTTGGAAGGTGTTGACTTATCCCAGGCATGTAGTAACTAACAGCTGTCAAACATTGTCTGTCGTTTAGTACGTCTTATTAAATTGATCATCATTGGTAGTAGTCAGCCCAGAATTGCATGGGGGCGTTAACACCGTGCCTAAGTGCACATAAAGGGTTGAGACTTCTCCCTAGCTATCCGCTCATAACATTGGTGTTATTTGGGATGTTGTCTACGACCAGCAATGTTTATTTGATATTTGGTCTTATTCTTATATTTGAGACGTGCTGTTTTAAGTCGTTTGGACAAATGACGAAGGTGCAATGCTCCCGGTCTGAAGCATAATCTGATCATTTTTGCTGTTGGCATTTGTAGGACCCGGCGCCATCTTCGAAGGGAAAAGTGAACAATTGGAACATTGGCGATTTTTTGGACGTAGGCGACTCAGAGCACACAGAGGAGGGAGGAAGAGTCTCCGAGAGCGTTTTTGATGGATGGGATTTAGTGGAGCACCCGACATTGCCGCCCCCTCCTGACTCTGAGGATATTGAGCATTGGACTCGGGCCATGTTCTATGATGCTACCAAGTGAGTGTTCTGTATGTCGCAGAAGGCCTGGATACCGAAGGCTGGACATGAGATGTGAAAGTGTTCTTTTGTTTGTATAGTAATTCTGTACATAATTTTTTCCACTTATAAAGAATGTTAGGAAATTCTTCCGAAAGTGAGGGCGCCAGATGCATGATATGGAGGTGAATGGAAGGTTTTTGCAAATTCATAGTTTGTTTGATGGTTTCTCTTGTGCTGCCTTATATCTCAGGGTGTCTGCAGTAGATCATTGTATTCATACTTTGACCATTTGTCTATGTCCTTTGATACTCTCCTATATACCTCTTGATTTCGTCCTCCGCTGTTGGGCTGCATGTGTCAAAGTGCGTTGCCAAATGCTGCCCAGTGTTCCATGCATGTGCTGCCTTTATGGCAGTGCTTTACATAGAGATTAGGTCTCATGGTCATCGATGTCGTAGGTGAAGTAGTAACTGACGTCATTTTGCAAGGAAAGGGCATGTCTATCCACCTTTTGATGCTGTTGATCCTGTTGGGAGTTCCACCGGTGTCGATGACTTTATAGTAGCGATGAAGTTTTCTGGGGCGAAGTTCTTTGGACACGTACTGCGAGAGCAAGAACGGAAGTTGGGCATTTACTTTACAATTGTAAATAGATCTAGGTGTTTCAGCAAGAATAGGTATGAAACACTAAATTTTCTCCATGAGTGGCAATAATTTTGTGAATTATAAACCATAGTTGTCACCTCTAACAATAAATCACTCTTGTGAAGAAAGAATGCTGGATCTGTATATGTAAAAGATTATTCTGCAGTCTTCTCCTGCCGGCCCCAATTATATCCATATTTTTGCGATGGAAGTTTTGTGAGTTGGTGTGTCTTAATTGTTTTAGTGTCCAGTTGTTAACTAAAGTAAAACAACGATATCATGTTGGCCGTTATAATGGATTGGTGCTCGTATCTGTTCATGTAAAGTACGCAGAATGTAGAGTAGATTATAGCTGTACTCTGACGTACTCACGCAGACCTGTTACCCTTGGCCAGCTGTTTACAGGCACGAACGAGTATCAATTTTATCAGGTTTGATGTCGTATGTAGATAGAGCAATATCATTTCAGCGCTATATGGGAAGTGTTTGTGTAGCGTACGTCCGGAAACCTCACTAATTGGAAGAGTAACTTTGAAAATTTGACAAAGCAAGGGTTTTCGTCATCTGGACAGGATGAGCAAGGCGGTTTAGTGTAGTGCTAAAATCGACATGAGTAAAAAGATATAGCGGTGGAAAGCACCTATTTGAAGGGCTGATCGAGCAAGAGTGGACCCCTGACACTCGAGGAGTCGATACCAATGCAAGGAGAGCAAGACATGATGAAGTACATGATGAAATCAAACGGGTAGATGTGCACGCCCAAAATAGAATCACATTGAGTTAATGATAATGTGTTTCTAACATACCAGATTTACCTAAAGCGAATGCATTACACAGTCAAAAATGTAATATTCAAATATAACGAATAGTTCATTTTTGTTGAGAATGTCGAATGTCTGTCACCGAGTTAGGTGAGTGCGCGCGAAAATTGTGCACGGTTTACAAATCTAAATAACACTAGAGGAATAAACAGTTCACCTTATATATATATATATATATATATATATCAATATTTGCGAACATATCATACCTCATTTTTTGTCCCTCCCAGGATAGAATCTTACTCCCAAACATCTTCACGTCAATTATAACAGTCATTGAATGACTTTTATTTTTTTGATTTAAACCTAAAAAGTGATACCCCTGAGAGTTTTTGTATTATATATTGATGTTACCCTTGGTACACCAATTTTCCAAGAATACGCATCCTTTCCATACAATATCTTGAGTTATCATTGTAATGGATACTACATGCGACAGAAATTTTATTTTCTACTGAATATTAGACCACGTTTATTACTGTATAATTATCCAGATAAGAATTTTATTTCATTTTCTATAATTTAATTACATGTGAATATCTCTGGTATTTCACATTTCAGATTTAACATTCAAGATGAATTCCTCTGAAATTATAAATGTGTTATATAATAATTTATGTGTAAAATTTAAATTCATAGCAACAATTTATTTTAGTCTAATTTCGTGTTTAGAGACGACTCGTACTCTTATTACGGGAGAGATTTGGATAGAGATTCTGTGGTTTATCAAAACTTTCAACCTATGGGAGCCCTTGAGGAGTCAAAGAGTGACGTGGAAAGCGCTCATACCCTTGAAACAATGGTAGCCGTCATTCACGACGGTCAAAGCTTAACATATTTGTAAGTTAAAACCAAATGCTGCTGGCGCTAAGAGACAGACAAAAGTGCAGTCTTTATCTTGTAGACAAGTGTAGTGACTACCAGTCTGCGCAAGGCTTTGTGAGATTCTATTATTTGTTGAATCCCGCAGGATAACGCATCATCTCTCCAGCCACCTGTACAATCTATTGACGTCATGCATGTAATTTCAAGGAATTCAAGTAGATAGAAAGGTAGCTGCCTCTAAACAGGCCATCCTTTCTAGAATGTAGAGTGAAGTTAGAATCTAACTTCCAGGCGTCGTAAATTCTGGCAAATGCCAGGTTTGAAAGAATTAAATTAATTTTGGCAAGTTTCTTCATCTTCATACTGGTATTTGCCAGAGTGAAGAAAGTCCTATTCTTATCATTCCATAGTCAATATGTGTTTTGATCGGAGTGAAATCAACTCGGTTCTTCAACTCTGTAATTCCAGTCCCGGGTGACAAAATGAAGTAAAACTAATATCAAACTCATAGTTATTGACCATATGAACAAAGATGAATTTGCAGATGAAAAATACAAGTATCCTATATAAATAGGAATCAATTAAATAATCGAATTTTGGCATAACTATTTTTATTTCATTATTTTTTATCACATGGCTTGGCGATAATCGTTTTGAGCGTTTCCAATTACTTCGCAATTACTTTGTCAAGTTGATTGGTTGTCATCTTTCTTTGCAATCCCCGATTTGCCTGGACTGCGCTACGATGTCCAATCACATTATTTAACTTTGCTCTCTCTTCTTGCGCATTTGCAATCCCGAAATCCTAAACCCGAAGATATGCTTCAACCACTAGACGATAAAGATGTATTGAATTCACTTAATAAAATTATTTTCTAATAGTCTTAAATAAAACAAATTTAAGACTAGAGTGAGTTTACTTATGAAATCTGACTTATTTTACTGATTTGACTAATTTTTTCTTCAAGATTTAGTTGAAAAGCGATATTTGCACGTAAATTACAGAAATAATTATGACATGGGTAATTGTAAACAGCAATATATCTAAAAACCTACAAGTTTGTCTCAAGTTTAGATGTTTTGATTTCTATACAAAAGCTTAACACTTAATTAACTCACAACCCAACAAATAACATAACAATTTTAAATATACAAGTGTTTGGTCTAATAGACTACGTTGTAACCACTGGAAAGAACTTGCGTCGTTCCTGAGCGCCTCGCCTCGTATCCCAGTCTCCTTGTAATTTCTTGTAACCTCGTCTCCAACCCGCTTTCTGGTCTATGTGTCTTTCATACTTAATTTGCATATCGTATTGTCTTCATGTGATACATAATTTGCTATATGTTTAGTAAATGAGCTACTCTAAGAGATCCACGCATCCCCAATATCACAGTCAGAAGTGAACACAGATCCATCCTTATAAGAAAGAAACAAACATTACTAAGCGTATCCCCTTGTGCATCACAAGAATTTATCTCTTACTAGAAATCTCCACATAATGTGATGACTAACAATGAGACTTAGGGCCGTCAACCTCCACGAAATGACTAATTCGGGAAGGTCAAATTTGGGATTTGCTACTTACAGATAGGAGACATTTCCACCCTCACTACAGTCACAAACCCGATTGATATCTCGACCTTGTAGAACAAACTCATATCTTCAATGCATTGAAAGTAATTAATAACCATGGTCTTGTCTCTCTTGAAGAGCAATGATCAGAATCTAACGTTCTGGCCATGTGTAATTCAGGAAAATTAACTTTGCAACTTTTGCTATGTACACCATCTTTCCTTCATGTCAATAATCCTTTCCATCACGCGACGTAGAGATTTCTTTGCACTTTCCAACATTTAACAGTAAAGGATGAACCAATTGTGGAAAAAATTCAATTTTTAATGCTTGAAGTTTGGTGGTGTGTAGATTGATGGATGACAGATTGTTGCTTATGTAATGTGTTCCATCCTTAAAGCATTAAAAAGTTAATGGGTTTTTAGATTTTTCCATTTTATTTTAATGTGATCAGTTCGATAACATTTTGTGCCAATTAAATAGATCGTCAGCATACATTTCATCTATATTTTTTCTTACTTGGAATGTATATAATCTCATTTTTCTTAGATACTTAATGTCTGTTAAACTTATTGAGATTTGGTTGCTTAAAGTCATACAAATCTGTACCAACTTTCACACAGATATTTTCAACCTGGCATTGCCAAGTTGAAATGATACACGCATGTAAGGATTAATATCGCATTGTCATTTATACAGTACATGTGTTGAGACATCCCTTAATTTTGTGTGAAGATTTGATTAACCTCAACAGAAAGCAACTATTTGTGTGTAACGGAATCCTTGAACAAGAACTAGATAAGATGAACTAGAACTAGAACATTATAATCTCATGTTAGTACTAATTTTCCCTTCGACCTAGTAACTTGTCTATCTTCCCTTTTCTTCTTCACTTGTATGTATGTTCGGTCCACAATGTTGCTCCACTACACAAATAGTTACATGTAAATAAATGCTTCAATGTCCGAGGAATCCGAACGCACATTTAATGGTTTTTCCCATCTGGGATGAACTATTGATAATCTCTTACCAATGTTGTTGCAGGATGACACTTATCTAAATCACTTTGAGGAGCAAAAAACCATGACATTTAAGCATTATTAGCATGCTTAAACGAGAGATCCCAACGTTATCTTCTTTTTTTCTAGACAGTAGTGATCGCTCATTTTTGTCGCGCAGGAATTTACTTTTAAGCTAAGCAGACTTACTTTACAGTCTTGTCTGCGTCTTTATAATCGATAATCTCGAGGTCAATGGCAACATATTCAGAACAGACTGATATTCTTGCGAACGGTAAAGTGACATTCGATGTGGACGGCGACATTGTGTGCTTCAAGCTACGAACTTCCCAGTACATACGGCAAGAACTCAACTTCCTTAGTGCTATGCACTAAATGATGGTAGGAGGCACTATACTGAGCATTCACTTGTGCATGATATAACCAATTCTACGGCGACATTTTGTATCGGAAGGGCAACCGCGGTGCGGCAGTTAAGATTGTGACACCTAAGTGCCATGAGATCCAGATGATATCTGGATCCAAATCTGCGATGGAAGCCGCGAGGCAGGAAACATGGAATGAACGTAAAAAGGGTGAAAACAACACATGAGTCAAACAAGTCTTCTACCATAGACGCACGTTCATCAAAGTCGAGGAAGCTGAGAAATAGCCTTGTCTAACGGCCATGGGCAGGTTGATTGATGGTCTTCGACATAAATTCATCTGAAGCATTTGGGCAAAATTGTATTGAATTATGAAGAAAAAATATCAACAAAGACAGGTTAACTAGTATCTAATGTTCAGAGCAGTTTCAAAGAAGTGAGCTACGTTCTCCTCGGGAGTACCTACTAGCACACCATGGCCCAAGTTGAAGATGTGTTTGTCTCGTCCTGCTTTCTCTACAGTCTCGTGAATCCTTCTGGTAATAAAGTCCTTGGAGCCGAATAGGGCTGCAGGGTCCATGTTTCCCTGCACAGCGAGGTCTTTACCAACTCTTTTTCTACCTTCTGCCATATCCACACTCCAGTCGAGGCTCATAACATCAACACCTGAAGTTGCCATTCTCTCCAACAGACCACCACTGCCGCTTGCGTACAAGATGATGGGCAGATTAGGATGAGTCTTCTTCACGTTTTCCACAATGTACTTAATGTAGGGAAGGCTGAATACCTCAAAGTCGGCAGGGCTCAAATGGGTACCCCAAGAGTCAAAGATCTGAACAGCTTGAGCACCTGCATCGGCCTGGTACCTCACATAGATAGTAATCGACTCTGCCAATTTTTGCAACAAAGAGTGGAGAATCTGTACGGCATTCCACGGATGCATCGTTGTCAGAAATATCCAAAGCATTCCTGGTAACAGATGGTCAAACATCGAAATAGACTGCACTTCTAGATGTTGCTTCGTGTCATGAGTGCGATCTTCACCTGAGGTTCAGTGAATGCAAGCTTCTTGATGACTGTGTAGTTCTTGGACGAGCCTCCTTCGACGATGTACGAAGCCAGGGTGAATGGTGCTCCTACAAAACCTAGAACGGCAGAAGCATTTCCGACCTGAACAATGATGCAGAAATGACGTCAATTAGCTCGAGCAGACGAGAACATCCAGGCTTCATAGATTAGTAGACGACGCAGAGGAACATACTTCTGAACGCAGGATACGGAGAGTCTCCCCCACGTAAGGAACGGCCTCTTCTGGAACCAATTCTCTAACTTGAGCCACATCTGCGGCAGTGCGAATGGGCTTGTGAATGATGGGCCCAGACTTTTCAATGATGTCGAACGGAATGTTCATGCCCGTCAACGGAGTCAGGATGTCTGAAAAAAGGATGACCTGCACGCCATCAGCACCCGGAGCTCAGAGACGGGACGACCAATATTACAAGCTTTCAATCTGTTCGAGTGCCCTCCTACAAATTCACAGAAGTCAAACTTGACCAAAAAATTTTTACTCTCGCGCCGCGGTGGGGACAGAGTATTATTGCACGAAGCAACAAGACACAGGTGGTCAAAATACTCAATGGTAGTTCCGATCAAAAGAACTCACTCCATCAGGTTTGAACGCGTGGTACGGCTGCAGCGAAATCTCCACAGACAAATCTGTGTTCTCCGATCTTTCTCTAAAAGAGGGGTACTTCTCGGACAGTTTCTGGTAAGCCTGCATCATGCCACGAAATTCAGTTCCGAATCTGCTCCTATAGATCCGCAGCTGAAGTGCCCCGGGCAACAAAAATATTTCTTTCTTCACATATAAACCTCGCAATGTTCGCTCTCTAAGGCTCCTGGCACTACCAGGGCCACTCAGATAAAGCCCTCCGGCCCCGCCTACATCAAAATCGAGCGAAAAGCTGCAATACTGAGAACATCCAGTAATAATCTGAAAGCGCCAGTTACAATGGTAACCTGTTGACCGCGCATTGAGGAGAGCATACTTGCCAAAGGGCCCTTGGACCGACGAGGATGACAACAGGGAAAACATCCCAATCCGAATTCAAGGCGTTTTAAACACAAATTCGATACTGGATTGCCAATTGATATCCTTTTCAAGAAAGAATGGGACAAGGTTCCAAGAGCAGGAGAGAAACCGAACCTTCATATATCTTCCGGCCTGGCGCATCATCCACACGGGCGGCCTCTCGACAGTATCCCCACGAACAGCACGCAACAAAATTGGGTCCGAGGTGCTCTCGGCCTTCGTGGCCGTCTCCGCTTCGCCAGCTGCGACTGCCTGCGCCCTGACGGAGACGCTCGTTTTCTTCACGGCCACAAATCCGTTGGCATTGTGCAAACCCGAGCTGCGCAGCAGCTGCTGCTCGCCATGCACCCACCCCCTCACCGCGACGAGGGCCGAGGCAGTGCTCGCAGCAGCCATGGTCGCCATTTCTCGACTATCTGTTCAATGAATTCGATTCTCCGTCCTGCACCTTCGGGACCTCGTGCTGTAATTGAGCTGTAGTGCGGGCGGACGAGGTAAGTGCGCGAGGAAGTGCAGCTGCAGGAAGCCGAAGGACGATGCAATGGGCAAACATCATCGAATAGGAGAAGCGCCCAGAGCAGAAGGGGATGAGGTTTAGCCACACTCTTCTCCCGACCGCCTCTCACTGGGCCCCGCCATTCCCGTCGCGGTCTTGACACCTCGGCTCCCCTCCCGCCATTGCCACTCGCTTCGTCGCGTCGTATCTTGCTGCGCCGGTGCCGAAATCTCCACCGTCGCTGCGACGCGGAAGCATTGCAGTGCAGTGCTCTCGGGGCATGGGGGCGTGAGCCGGTATGAGGCTGGTTGGCTATGGACGTTGTGGAACGACAGAGGGACAGGAACGGTCCCTCTTCCCATGAGTCGTAGCTACCCAGACGGGCAGCCGTTCAGCCTCTGACCGACGCAGAGGCTGAACCAATGACCTCGAAACCTTACTGTTCGGTTGTTATACTTTAAATCCCGCACATTCCGTGATTTTTACCCACTTAGTTTGTTGGGGGCTTTGGCACAAAATCGCGTGCTAGCTGCACTTGAAAATTAAGTTTGGTTTGATTGCAATAATGTGTATACCTCTTAGTTGTAACTAGGACAGTCCGCTCCACATACAGGAAGGGATGTGTTCAATTTGCATGGTACATTGCAATTTCCATCAGATTGGCTGCTTGTGCCCTTGCGTACGATGTGGTGACGAGCCACCTTTCCCAATTTCCACATTCCACTTTCACTCGCTATAATTTTGGTCATGTCATTCACATACCTATAAAAACTGGAATCTTAATGATTGCCCTGTACAATATGAGCTCCGAGATAAATTTTTCTTACACTACTTCGTTTCTCCACTACGACTAAGCCGAGAGACAATCGCATCCTCACGTTAAAGGACTCTGACGCTCTAGAGCACACTGATCGAGGGCGATGATTCAAAGGTATAAATCTGCTACGATGCCTAGAAAAAGGCAGGAGGGTCACTTACTTGTGATTTATCTACAACGTTTCCGATGAGACTAAGGAACTGGCAGTTTCGAAAGATGACCAATAGTGTGGCAATCAACTTATCCAAGTTGCCTATTCGGTATTAAACTTCTGAGCTCTAGTTTGGAGGAAGCAACCTGCAGTGGGCTATTGAGTCGAGCAACCAGGTGCAGGGGAGGGCGTGTGCACGAGCGGGGATTGATATGGACATTGCTTCCTGTATCCTGTTTGCGAGATTTCTGTCCTTGCCAGAGTCTGGATCTGCGTTATAAAGTACGATCGTTTGACCTGCAAGGGGAGTCTCTTGCAGATCCGAGAGGTCGGTGAAGGACGTCAAGGTCGTAGGCAGTGGTCTTCGGTGAAGAACAGTCCCCCCTCCCGCTGTTATAAGGGATTGCAGGTCTGCCTTCAGCACTGAAGTAAAATCCCCACAGAGGTAGAAGGATATGTCTTCAAATAACTTCGGTGCCTGCAAAATTCGCTCAAGTCCTCAGAGTTTAACACATCAGATGCAAACATTCGTTCTACGACCTGTTCCCATAACGAGGACCATCAGAGAGTTTGGCAGTGCAGCTTCGGATACATGATGACAATATCTCAGTTTGTGCAGGTAAATGAGTACCTTGCTGACTGCAAGATGGCGGCTGAGGCATGGACCGCCATAAAAACCATTCACATCGCAAGTAACGAGGTAGAGGTCCTCGGGGACTGGGCGCATCCTTGATAAGCATTCGTTGATCCCTGGATTCATGACTTCAAGTTAGCGATGTAATAAATGGGATGGAGGTTGTATACAGAGTGAAGTTATGCAGATGGATGTACGATCAATTTCTATGGAATCTAAGTGGGGTTAAAGGCAAACGTAGGATAGAGTATTACAATCGATTCTGACGATCCACTTGCCCTCCAACATTGCAAGTAAGTACTTCAGGGTCCTCTTAGCGGCGCCTTGCTCATCGGTCCAGGTTATGACATGAGTCACGGCTGAACTCCATTGCGTAACCACAGTCGCACCGGTAAGCGTGGCAAACGAGGCTACTTGAACCTGCAAGACCTCATATATCTCTGTTAGATGGAGAACCAAGATGGTATCACTATACGTAATGAGACCAACACTACCTGAAGAAGACGTATGACCTCTAGATAAATTCTTCCCATGCGACAGAAAGCAGCTATGTTCGCAGTCATTTACCTTGAGCTTAGAGTCCAAACCGGACCCGCACAAGACCCATTTAGCAGCAGGTCCAGGGGACCATTGCGTTGCTCTTGTTTCCTCGCAAATCGCAGGACCTGGTGCTCTCCTTCCCGATCTATTGGAAGAGGCAGACTTCATTGTCAACACTTCAACATCCACGAGAAAAAACTTCACAAATTCAATCTTAATGCTAACTTAATAGCGAGCTGCGTTCCCAGTAGCTTAGAACGTTGAGAAGAAAAACAGAATTCGTAGCGAACCTCGCTTGAGATCGAGCGGCTGGAACGCTGGGTACATCAACCACTTGGGTCTCTAAAGTGGAACTTGAACCGTCTCCAGATTGCCTTCGGGCTTTTGGAGCTCTTCCGCGTGCATGAAGAGGACAGAACATTACATAATCGTCCTGCGCGAAACAAAAGAAACTGGTTCATGAAGGTCCGCTTCCCTTTGAACAAGCAGGTGCAATGCAGTCAACGTAGAAGATGAGTATGACCTTCTAGAAAGAAATAGGGGTGCACCTCGTTCCACTGGCATCCTTGAAGAAGCCTTGCACAAGGATAGTGATAACTATTCTTGCACTTATTGTTGCAGCACCCGAGTGCTGCCCCTTTTCTCCCACATACAGTACACTTGATTCTACCTCCTCGAGAAACCTCGACACTGAGATTCCGTGGACGATCATCATCTTCAAAGTATACATTAGGAGCCCTGGGGAGTCAAAGAGTCAAGTGGAAAGCCTTAACACCCTCGAATAAATGGTAGACGTCATTCACGATGGTCAGAAGCTACACAATTTTAAGTCAGAACAACTGCTGCCGCCGCAACAGCGACGGACACAAGTGCAGTCTTTAACTTGCAGGCAAGTAGAGTGACTACCATTCCGCGCAAAGTTTGTGAACGTGAAGGTATTTGTTGGATCCCGCTGGATAACGCATCATTTCACCGGCCACCTGTACAATCAGTTGACGTCATGTTTGTAGTTTCCAAGGTATTCAAGTAGATAGAAAACGAGCAGTCTTTAAACAGACCAGCTTTGCAGAAGAAGAGTGTAGTCTTCACCTCAGAATTGCCCTTATTGCCACAAAATCTACAAGCGGTAGCGGTTGTTTCTGAGGCAGCTTTTGATTTTGCAACAGGTGCAAGCCTCTCCTTGTTAGATTCCTCAACTTGAGCGTCAGATACCTTCGCTCCAACTCCGTCTTCAACGAGAAGACGCTGAGGAGCAGCCTCAGGATGTCCATCACGAAGTAAATCCAGAAATCTGCTTGCCACCGCTGCACATTCTTTTATCTCGGTAGAAGAAGGAGCTCTGGATCTAGTGGGCCTTCGTTCTGTACCATTACCGGCAGTCATGTCAATTTCGGGACATGCGGGTCGCGCTACAGATTCACTTGTCGTGGAAATGGGAGAACGGTCATCGCCATTCTTGACCACAGAATGTCTTCGAATCCTCGGAACGTTTTCCTTGCGGTCTCCCAATGGCTTCTTGCGTGAGTTTTCCTTGGCGGGTACTACTTGGACGCTTTGTGTTAGTACCTGATGATGTAAATTGTTGGGAGCTGAAAGGGAATTATCTGCATCTGTTTCTGCAACAATGAGTGGATCTTGCAAAGGCCTATTCTGCAAATGATCTTCCTCCCCTTGGGGCTTCTGCTTGAAAGACCTTCCGGACTGTTCCCTGAATGTTGTCGGACTACAAGCTAATTCGGGAGAGCAGGGCCTTTGTGTCCATGCAAACGTATCACTGTCATAGCCTTCACCCTCTCCATACTCACAACTTCGCTCTTCTCCCTGCACGGGAAAGATCAATGAATTAGCATGTTGCTCCTAAACCCAGTGAAGTTACTGGCGACCTTCCGGGCAAGCACTTCTTAACAATTCCGATCACAGGACCACAGGAAAGATAAAGATATTCAAAAGAAAATTCTCTCTGAAGGTGATCGAATTCAGTGTTGGAATGCCAGCGACAGGCTATACCGGTTGTTGAACGTCGTCCAAGGATCCTTCATCATCAGAATCCTTCAAATCACTGAATGCCGGGCGCAGAGCCGGCGCTGAGAGCTGGGCTTGGGTGAATAGCTCATCCTCCGTTGGCGAGGTAGGATCATTATGGAGCCAGAAGAAAGGAGTCAACTGAGGCAACTCATTGAAGGCCTGGCGCAAAGATGGAAAGCCCTGCAACTCTAGGTCCAGGTTCAGACCTGCATGATCGTGTTTTACTTCCGTACTGTCACACAGAGATTTCTCTACTTGTCTGTCGACCCCTTCCTGGTGTTGGAGTGGTACATCTTGACCAGCAGGCTTTAAAAAGTCCAGAAGCATTCCAGACCTTGAGTTGCTCTCCACATCTGAGCTCGGCAGTGGCTCTGGCCTGTACGAGATCGAGGTCCTGATATGGGACGGAATGTCATTGTTGACGCCATCGTTGATATTGATATCCTGCTCGAGCTCACTGTTTAAGTTCAGATCAACAAAAACTTGAGAGGATTTTGGAACCTGGACCCTCTTCTTAGCTAGAACCACGCCCTGCGCTTTGCAATTCAGCTGACTGGCCAGAGCACGCTCGTAGTTTACTCTGTAGTTCTCGTCTACATCAGAGTCATCTGATTCCGACAGGTTACTTTTGCTCCTCCGCCTTTTTTTTCGAGGATCCAGCGCCTTGTTTGCAGCTTTCGTCTTTTTAGAAGGTGCAACGATTGTTTTCTGTCTTCCTTGGCCCTGTGCTTTGATCCCCTGAATGGAAAGCTTCTCTGCGCGTATGGAGAACCAAGAATCAATATTTGAAAGAAAAGCCACTGCCGTGTCAAATGAGAGGAGAAGCTGTAACCCTCCAGGTTACCTGCGGCTCTACTGTAAATCATTCGCGCAGACACGAGTGCTGATTGCGATGCTTGCGAGGGTATGGGATGGACATGAGGTGAATTACCAGGAGGAGAAACTTGAGTGGACTGTGTTGGAAATAGACATATACCGGCAGCAGATTCCATTCCCTTGAAAATATCGACAAGACTATCCATCTGAGGCGCTGGACGAACCTCTGCAGAGGGCAGATTGAAGTCAAGTTTTGATTTCAAAGAACATCGTACTGAACCTCGTTGCTGGACATTACAATGCCTAGAGGAAGATGCGCACCTCGCCTTGTCGTGTGTGCTTTGCAAATGGGGCAGCAAGATGTCGCTCTCACGGATTCTAAAATACAAGATCTGTCCACAACGAGTTCCGAATATTATTACATATCCACGCTTCCTTGAAGCCAACGACGAGACTACATGCTGAAGCTCAAAGTTCACAGTCTCCGTGAGCAGGCCTTTCACTTACCGGCAGAATGTGTGGTTACATGATATAGTAGCGGCGCTCTTGTAGAGACTCAAGCTGCAAAAGATGCATAACATTCGGCACGGTAAGTTCTCATATTATGTACGCAACGTGCTTTCTTGGAAAAGATTTGAAGACAGATCAGTATCCGGTCTGTAGATTCTTTCTTACAATACCGACAGCTTTCCAAGATACAGCACCGAAAACTACTCTCAGCTCTACTCCAGCTCTACGCAGTTTCAAAGTTGATGATAACTTGAGGCACTCTTATGTTCGATCTAGACTCCAAAGTTTACTGCGCCACTTTCACTATCATGGAGCCCAATATCTGCGTTCTGCGTTCACTTGAATTGCTTTTCGCAATTCAAGTGAACGCAGGAACGCAGATCTACAACACTCTAAAAACTACTCACATCATATAAAACTAGAAAAGGCAAGAATTAGCCACTACTCTTGTCCATAACAGAATTTCCATGGATGCTGTACGGATTTCTAGTCGATCCCGTTTCTCAACATGGAGATTCCAGTACAGGCACTTTGGAAGTCGCAGGCTACTAAGAAGACCAGGTCGAGAATTGGAAAACGAACCAAACAGGACATTTGAGCTCACTGCCCATTCGCTCGAGATGCATCATGCTTCCTGCGGTCACCATCTCCGGCTTCTTGCAGACAACTCGTAGCTACACCATCCGAAATCTCTGGCGATACTCGAGCCCAGGAACTCTCATCCGGTGTGAAATTCAACAAGCTTCGCAGGCAGGGCCCCCGGAAATATGTAGAGGGAGGATGAAGAGAGAATAATGATGAAGCGCTTCAGGTACACGAGCCGTCAATCAAGCAGTATCCAGGTCCTAAGAGATCGCAATCTCTCTTCGAATTTCGAACTTGGCCTCGTGAGTTTCGCGCGAAACTGAAACGTGGCGGGAGACCTGGACTTCGCATCTCTTGGCTCCATTCGCTCCTAGATGCACTGTAACCAACGGCAGCCATTCGATTGGCGCACACCTCTATATAGCCGTGGATTTTTATCATTCCTCGGAGCGCACACTCCCTCGTTTCCGTATAACAAAACAGGTTTAATATACTATTCTTATAAAATTATTCGATTGTTTCTATTTTCAGTAGTCGTAGTAATGAAATGTTGATCTAATTACAAAAATAATGAGTAATGAATATGAAAAAACAATTAATTTATAATAATCAAACTTCTATATCATATTAGATACATAATATTATAATTACAAAACGAAATATAATATTTATTTTAAGATTTTCATTTACAAGTACGCAATCCCAAGAAAAGTTGTGTAAGTTTATCATTTTATATAATTTATGTAATATTTTTAATAAAATTTATAGGTCTGATTTGAACAATAATATATATAAAGATACCAGTTTTATGTTATGTCAATAATCCAATATATTTAATTGTTAGTTTTATTGAAATCTCTGATTAAATTTAGTCAACCTCACTCAAGTTAGGTATTATACTAATGAAGAGGTCTTCCATTCAAAATATAGCAAGACGAGGAACTATTTGTATTTAACATTTTGTAATTTTGTAAGAAACAAATATATTATTTTCGTGGAAGTAGCCCAAAAGCTACGAAACACACATATTTTTTGATTTTTTATTTCTATTCTTAGAATATGCGTCATCTCAAAAAAAGTTTCAGGTGGAAAGGTGTTAGACGGTGTGGTTGGAGGTAGAGTTAAGAGAGAAACAAGAGATGCTTGGATATAAATAGCTCAAAGCAGGCTAGATAGGGCGGGCGGGGTGTCTCAAGTACTCATGTCTTGGCTCGTAAAGAGTTGCAGTGACGTGACTAGAGGGTTAAATTGGACATGTTCGTCGTCGAGATTGATTGGCAGTCAAAGATTGGATCAACATCTGCTCGAGTTGAGATTATATTCTGAAATGGATTAAATGGAAGTAATCGTACCTCGCCTGCAAGATGATGAGACCTTGATGTATTCTTTGATTTTTGTTTCAAGTTCATATTTGTACTTCACTTGGTGAAAGACAAAGATGCAATTCGAATCATGCAATTTCACAATTTCAGAGCACAAAAGTGCATACAAATCGAGTCTTCAAGACGAGATTAAGATGATATGCTCAGCTTTGAGGGAGGTTATAAGCTCCGACGACGAATGTGTAACAAATGAGATGTTGAAGCGAATTTGTAGGATAAGCGACGAGTTCTGGACTATCAAAAAGGATGTAAGACTAAGTGCTCAAGAAAAAATAGATTCCAAATTGGAAGTTGAGGAATCTCATCATGTCTTGTAAGTTGCTGAGAAATAGGAATCTGCTAGGTTCGATGGCAAATGTTTTTAATGCCCAAATTATAATTAGCCCAAGAATGCACTCTGCAAGATAGAGTTCGAACTCATGGAGTTAAGGGACATGCCCTTGTCTATCTCCTCGTTTGTCCTTGCAAATAGAACTGCGTCTACACTCCACACTCCATATCGTGCAATACATCTTGTCATTGTATAGTATGATATTTAAAATACTAATAGAATTCAATTACTTTAATTCTATAGCATACAAATATTTTATGTTTTTCCTACACTTTTTAGATAGAGCTTAGTAAGCTTAAGACCAAAATTAATAACAATATTATAAATTATAATTTATTTGATTACAATTTTCAATTTGATCATGAATTATTACATATAGTGACATAATGCTCCACTGAAAAAATATAAATCTTATTATCAAATTTCTTACTTTAAAAAATTCAGTAAATCATTTTAAAGGAAGTCAAACACATTAATTGAATGCACTCACATAGTTAACACAATCATGCACACACACAGTAAACACCAATCACAAGTTGTTCTTTATTGCGTGTTACGATCACCACGCATTTTAGATTATATAAACAAATACTAAATGTAATCACTTAAAACTTTTGTGAAATCTCTTATATACTTGCATTCTAACCAACTTCACTAACTAAAGTTTAAATAACATAATATATCATAACACATGAATTATCTTTTAATAGTGTATTTCATGTAGTGGGTACCTTAAGCTTCATGATATATATAAATACTTCACAACAAGTTTTTTGAAAGAACTAACATAGACTTGTTTTCTAATCTAGAGCTAGCTAAGATTAACTAGTATATGAAATAAAGAAAAAACTCATATAAAGTTAATGGAATTGATGCTAAAATTCTAACTCTGTTACTTTCGTGAAACTTACAAAATTACACAATGACAAAACCCTATAATTTTCAAGAACACATCATATTGAATTAATAGTTAATATTCACAAACTCGAACTTTCTTATTAAAAAGCGAATCTTTGATAAAATGATACATGATGTTAATGTGCTTCAATACTCTGTTCAATACTTGATTTGCAAAAATACATAAGACATTCAAACCACAACAAATAAGGTTGATAATCTATAATTTTTATCTCATTTGAATGATAAATATACTTAATCAAATAGCTTTCTTTGTTGTCGTTACATGTTTAAAATCCATTGTTAACTAAGCTATGTAGTATTGAAAACATATTTCAAACTATTGCATCCATCATCAATTGTAAATTTTCTTTTGCACTCTGAAGTTACATATTCATTTGTTGTTATTGACCAAGCTATGTAATTTTGCAAAGTTTATTACAAATGAATGCATTCAACATCAAATTTAAACAAAAAATCTTCATAAAAGTCATATACTTCCATTGTAGCTTATCTAGATTTGACATATATATGTTAATCTTGTTTATTGGAAGATAAATATCAAATATTGATTATATAGTCAAATACATGAGTAATCACTTACTTTGTTGTGTGAAGTTGATTGGGTTATTAGCATTTTTGTGACATAAATTGAACATTGAGTTTCCAAAAGCTTGAAAAAGCTTGTAAGATAAGTTCATATTCATTGAAATATTCATATTCATTGTGTCATGCTAAATCTTGTTAAGCACAATAGATTATATCAAATAATTCACGCATAGTTTTATTTAAACATTGTGAGCATTTTTTTTTAAAAATATTTGTACTTATCTATATCTTTTATCTTAAATGTATAATTCAGTTGATTCTTGCATCTTTCAACGTTTAATTGTTTTTTTACCAAAAGAAGCATGTCATCAATGTATAATATTGGAATAAAGAAGTTAAATAATTAATTATTTACTTTTATATGTGTATATATGTGAATCTTTAATACTTTTCAAAAAAAGTGTACTTTCATGAACTCATCATAACTTTCACCATCAAACGAGTTTATTTTGATCCATATAATCATTTCAATCTATATAGATCAATTTGATTTGAATTTTTTCTTAAAATCAGCTAGTTTTGTGTGTGTATATATGCATGTACACAAAATAAAATAACATTCATTCTATTCAAAAATATATTAAATATTGCAACAAGCTTATTTACAAATCAAATCAGAGTACATTTTGCTACAAGCGAACAAAATTCATTTTAATGTACATAATTCGTTTGTGTGAAATCTTAAATCATCAACATGACTTGGAAAATTTTCTCTACATCATTTGTTGATTTCATTGGAAACTTGTAAATCCATTTGCTATTCATGAAGTATTGATTCAATGAAAACTTTACTAGCTTTCACATATTGTCCTCAATTAGCAAATATATTTCATGTTCGATATTATTTTATTCAAGCTTATTGGTAAAAATTAGTATTTAAGTATAAAAATCAGGGTTTCATTTTTTCAACATAATTGCATTTTTATCATCATTTCAATTATAAACAAACAAAATCTAATCTTCAGGAATTACTTTAGCAATGCATAATCAATATTTTTAATATTATGATTAATTTGAATTGATGTTTTTTTTATATGAATTCATTTTATTTTTCTTGTTTTTTGCAATTATTCAAGCATTAGCAATAAAAAATCGTTTGCTCAATTTTTTTATTTTCAGATATTTTTCCATTTGAGTGAATCTTTTTCTATAATCATTTCAAAAATCTTGCAAAATCTTCTATTGTATCAATCATTTTGGTTCATTGAAATAATAATTATAGTCTCAATTACTCTACAACCTACGAAGCCTCGTAACATTTGATTTTTGTACACCACTAGCATGTATACACAAATAATATTCTTGGTATATAGTATTTTACTCAGTAAAATACATCTAAGGTCTGAGATAATAAGTTATACATCAAAAACTTGTAAGCTATAATAATTTGTCATGTTTTATGTCTTAGATTGAACGATGTAAACAAAATACATTGCACTAGATTGAAATAATTTATCAACTAGACTACAGTATTGAAGACTTTATCATATGATTCATGTGATAAATCGTATGGTCTCCACATAGTTTGAGCATACTATACATAGTAATTATTAATAATTATTTGGAAATCTTTTACTTTAATGACGTTGTTTTGTGAAGTCTACTTCTTAATGAGATGAAAAATGATTATTTTTTTCAAATAACTTCTAAAGTCCTCATATGTATATTTATTGCCATTATATTTATTTTCATATATCGTCAATATCAACATTTTTTAATCTAATTTGAGTTTCAATTTAAGCTTTTCAACTTTAAAAAATTGTGAAGATACCAAAATTTTACGTTAAAGCTTTTAGATTGAGATTATTGAAAATTTGTATATGTGGTGGAAAAAAAAACCATTCAATATAATCAAATTTTTAAATCATATAGCTAATATAGAACTTGAAGTTACATTAGCTAAAAATAATTTTGTTGCTTTTATTTTCAAACAAGAATAATTTTTAATGTTATCACTTTTGTACTAAAAAAACAGCAAAATTTCAAAAATTGTAATATTTGGAGT